TCTTTCATGCTCCTGATCTGTGCCATGTTTTGGAGATCTTAGCAAGGTGAACAGGAAACATCCATTTAGTCCGTCTCAAACAGCAGCCCTCCAACAAATCCTACTTCCACAATATTCAGTCATTGTTCAAAATGTTTCAAGCTTTTACTGAGAGGTGTTCTCGGTATGTATAAGCTTACAACACTGCTATTGACACAAAGCGCTTCTTTTCAAGCACAATATTTTGAATGATGTAATGTTCCATCCAACATTAAGTGATAGGTATCAACTAACATATGCAGAGTGACTGTCAGCCTGAGTGTTAAGATGAAACCAAGAACATGTGAATTACACAAGCGATAAGGCTCATACATACACCGTTGTCTCTTCAGCTTACATTTATGTATGAACTCTGATCCACCCAGTTTAATATTTTCCCCAGAGGTGGAATCCAGGGGAGGGAAATGTTAATATCTGTCACCTGAGCAGACTGCCACAGTCAAAGCAGTACTTTATCAGTTCAAATTAAAGCTTCAGTGGTGCAAATGATACAAATACTGACAATACTGTACCACTCCCATATCCTAACAACCACAGGGGAGTCCTGCAGGATAGAGATGTGGAGATGGGTGAAATTAATGGGTGTGTTCGGCTGGAGAAGCACTGCTTCATGACACAGAGGTGGATTACAGGATGCAACAGTGCATTCTAGTGGCCAGTGGGAAGCATTTGGAAATGTGGTCTGGTTCTTGGTAGTTTTAATGATTTTTTCCCAAATGATCTTGATGTGTTGCAACATAGTGACCTTAGGTGTTTTTTATTTCTGATGCTGCAAGTTTAGATAAAGCTTGTTAAAGGGTCTTAATGCTCTTCTGAAGAGGGGAACCAGCATGAGACAAGGCCCAGCTCAATAACGACAGGCTGCTTAGTAATGCTACTGAGGTCCGACATTAACTAAACCGAGACGACCGATTGTTAATGACAGTCATGCAGTGGGACGCCCAAGCTCATGAAAAAGAATTGAGATTTGGGATGTGTGGTTCTGAAAGATATGAGTATATCGTATACTGTACAGTATTTATAGCTGCGTCCATCCATGCAGAAAAAACAATCCCAAAATCAGAGGCAGAGGCACACACACATACCTCTACACATGGTCACTGCACACATTCAGCAGAAAAACACTCAGCCATTCATCCACGCAGCCCCTCTCTCACTATTCCATATCATGCACCCCTGCACACGCATTCAATTACATGAATTCAGATGCACTCATGCGGGAGGGCACATACAAACATCCAACTGCATGGGTACAGGTAGTTTAGTGTGTGTTTGCACATGTGAGAGCTGGATTTTTTAAAACAATACATAAATCATGGAAACAGTGGTAGCAGCAGTCACTGGTGTGCATGTGTGTGTATGTGCGGACCACTAGTGCCTTCAGTGTTTCTGCAGCTAAACACTCAATGTCACTCACCTGGCAGGAAACTTGTCAATGAACATTGTCAGTGTTTTTTTATTTTTTTTATAGCCATGTTAGTAGCATTGCTCTCGAAACTGTGAAATGGATTCCAACACATTATTTCTGCTCTGAAATGTTTTATTAAAGGGTTTCTCTGTGAGTTAGTGTGTGATTCTTGACAGCCAAACAGCATTTTTTGCAGCATGGTCAGTGTGAAGCGCTGATTTTACATATATTATACAGAGCCTTCAGATGTGTAGCTTTGTCTACGATGAACTTGTGCAGGATGACCGAAGATTCATCTTCCGAGAAAGAAAATGAGCCAGATGCGGCGTGTTGTTTCTCATTAGTGGCGTGCGGCTCACTTTTTTCCCTCTTAAAACAAATACCCTGCCTTGAATGTGTGCGTGACAGCTGGAGATGAGTACTCAGTTAAGTGGAAGAAAATAAATCAAAGCATTTGCCATCTTTTTGTGATGATTTGTCTAATTCTTGTCTGGTATATCCACGAGGGGGGGAGGGGAGGAGGAGAAGAGATGGAGAGGTAGCAGGGGAATGAGGACGAGGAGACGTGTGTGTGTTTGTGTGTTGAAGGGAGATATGTGAGGATGTGCGCTGGAAAAGATGTGAACAGAGCGAGTCAGAGAGAGAGAGACAGAGAAAAAGTGTGTGTTTGGACCAGCTGCACAGCAAATCTGTTTATTCTGCACAATTTGGCATCAAACACAACAGACTGCTGAGTGCCTGCTACTGCTTGTGGTGCCCCATTAAAATGGAATTTATTGCTGCCTTAAGAGCAAGCCCGAATTACGCATTTTTCCCTCCGTTCTCCTTCTCCTTCTCCCTCTCATTTGCAGTTTTTCTTTTTCTCCGGCTATGGTGATGTTAGTGGTGTGGTTTTTCCCTCCCAGTTCCAGCAGCAGCAGCAGCAGCTGTCAGACAAGTCATGAGATTGGCTCATTACAGCCCCAAACAGGCAGGTATGGTAGGCATGCTCACCTACAAGCCGGCCATCACTGTCATCTGAGTGAGCGGTGCTCAGACATCAAATTGAAAGCCCTGTCTGTGAATGCGCTGGCATCTCTTTCAGCCAGCACTAACTGCACCTTACAGATGCTAAATAATGTTTGTTTTGCTGTCCTGCGCGTCTCATTTGGTTGAAAGGTGTCGTCTAAACATGTAGGAGGACACTCTTGTCATCTGAAGGCAGCCTGTGTTGCGTAACTGAAACAATCAGATTCCTGGTTGAGCTTCAGGACGCGTAACATCATCAGTCTGACAACCTGTTACCCGTTTAGTTTACACTTGTAACCAGAACTTATGCTGTAAAGAGAGCGTGAACTCGGGGCCCACATCTCGCTCCATAAATCTCGTCAGCCAATGATAAATTCATATTTAATGACCATGGCCATCGTCTGGGAAGGAGGAGCATTCTTTCATTATTGCCTCTTTCCCCTGCTGCTTGGTCGAGATAATTGATTTCTCTGTGGTAACAAGGTATCGACCATGCACGGTAGCCAGCTAAGACGGCGGTTTGATTCAAAGGAGGGGTGGAGAGGGAGCGAGGGAGGAGAACAGGGAGAACGAGGGATGAAGCTGCAGAAGAGTGAGAGAGCAGTGAAAGCCAACAAGCCATACAATCATTTGCAGTAAAATAAATAAATAAATAAAAAAAACTCCCTGACTTTAGGTGGGTGTAGATTGGACAATGACTCTTGTCTTGTTTTTCCAGGCTTTTAAAAGGCAGAGCATAGTTTGGTGTTTCAGCTGTTTGCCAGTGTTGTGTGTTTAATTCACCAAATGGAAAGCATATTGATCACACAATCTGTCACACGATTCATTGAAAACAGTGTCAGAAACAAATCTGGAGGACCACTTTTCGAGCACATGCTTAGCCTGCTAAGGAAGCGCGTGTTGTCGGTCCTGTTTATGTATTTGCAGCCTTGTACTGTTGCTCCTCGTTTTGATGTAATTTTAAGTAAATCTGTACGATGCCTCGCCTAAGCCACCAGTAAATCTTCCACACTAGCGAGCAGATTTTCAAACAACGCAGCATTAACATAGAAATACCCTCCAGCTAGTGACAAAATATGTAAAAGTGTGTTTTTGTGTAGCAAATGTACACAAACAAGTAGTCAAAACACAAGGCGTGCAAAGACCATTTGTCTGGCGCTTAACGTGGCTTGTTGCTTTAACAAATGTATCGATCAGATTCACGATCAGATGGGTGGGTTTGACTGGCAGCTATTGAGTTGACATCTCTGAGGTGCTGACGTTATTTGGCCTGACCTCAAGCAGGCAATGCTGCAGACACCTACTACATGCTGCACAGCTACAGCTTGACATATAGATTGTATTTTCAATTGGTCAATAACAGCGATAACGAAACCTTATGAATTGAATAATGTATTGATTATATTCAGCTTCTCGAGATGGTAGCACCGTTGTTTCCTCTGGCATCTCTGCCTGCAGTTCATTGTATAAATAGAGGAATTAAATAGTGTTGTTGTTGTTATGTGTTTACCAGCTTACATTGTAATTTATTTAAGAGCTCTTAATTGGACTAGTTACTCATTTGGCCCTCGATGGTCCCACAGCAGAACGGAGCTCTATCACTGCACACTGGGGCTTGCTGGAATATGGAGCTACAGAGACACACTGTACACAGCCAGCTGTTTGATGTCTGCAGCCGCCGAGCGTATGCTGCACCGCGCAGCATAAATAAACACACAATCCCCCGATGAGAGGACAGATCGACACACAGGAGACCTTATTTCAGGCTAATGAACTATTAATGTTGATTTGAAATTCAAACATTTTCAGAGGGTCTTCTCTGCAGTCATTCGTGGCTCTGTTTGTGTTTGAGACAGTGAGAAAGAAAGGAAGCGAGAACAAAGTAATTTGAATGAACTCTGCTTTCCATATATTCACACACACACGTACCCCCCCCCCCTTCCAAAAACAGCTGGGCTTAGATCTCAGAGGGCCCGATGAGTTGCTGAAGCTCTGTATTAAATGAGGCCATATAAAATGTATGTCAATGGGTTCAGCCTGGCTTAGCGCTCTCCACAGTAACTGTTAATGGAATAACTATAAGATGTATAAATGATCCCTGCTTTAATTCATAATAATGTTGGACCTCATCGCCTGCCCATTCAGCCCAATAGATTATGGAAATAGCTGTAATGACTATTGGAACAATGAGCCAAATTGCATTATCATTCAGTGCCACGTCGGCTTTGGAATAACTGGCACTGTGCTTTTGCGCTTTCACTGAAGATCTTGAATAACAATGGCCAACATTCAATTTACATCAGGAAAAATGAAGAGTGTTAAACATGAATGAAGGCTTTAGGCTGCGTGAATACAGTATTGATAGGACACTCAGTTAATAGGGTAACACTAATCCGTGTCCAGGTGCAAGAGGGTTTTGTTTAGGTTGAATTGCTGGTAACAAAACCCACACGTCCTACATGTATGCCTCACATGCTCCAGAGCCTCGTTTCAGCAGGGTTCCTCACCCCACGTGTCCGTCTCATGCATGAACAACACCCACGGAGACAAAGGAAAGTCTTTATTTTTTTTTCTTTTCCAGCTTCGCTGTGGACTTATGTGTACATTCAGTCCACATGCTCTTTGGTGGAAGTCAGACAATCAAACTGCTTCAATAGAGAAACACAATCATATAAAAGGAATAAATGTACAAGAATATATCATAGGTAGAAAACAATGCAGGAATCTTACAGCTTTAAATATTGCTGGATTTTTGTTTCAGTGAGTCAATACTGTGAATGAATTTTTCATCAACATGAACATCTCACTTGGAATAACTAATACCTGAATCAGTATCATCAATATCTGCCAAAGGTTATGATGAGAGCAGCAGAGGGACAGTTTTCCAGGAACAGTTAGTTCTGTTATATACTGATAGTGTAACAGTACAGGAGAGCTACTGTGATTACAAATACTTAAGTGAGTGTGCATGCAAATCAGTTTTTCACATGAATAAATTAAAGCAGCTCCAGATTTTATTTTGTGATGCACATATAACTAAGTCTTTGACTGCACTGTACTAGGTTAGCAGAGTAGATTTTTCTTAAATGATCTACTTTTATACTATTACGTAATAATGTAAGGAGTGTCAGTAATTCTTACTAGTAAGGTGCATAATATGCCGTATATGCTCGCTATTAGTAAAGGCTTACATATCAAAAGTGGTGCAACAGCAGCCTCTAGTGGCTTACATTACAAGGTAGAAAACACTGAGTTTTACAGAGAATGCAAAATGCAACAACATTCCACATCAGTATCAGTGTTTGCATAGTAGTACTGGTAAAGTCTTCAGAAGTTAGAATTGTCATGATTAGTAAACATCATAGCACATCAACATAAATATGAAATAAAATGTTAAATCAATAAAAAATAAATGTTTCAGAACAATGACAAGGCAACCAAAGTCCAAAAAACTGGCCAAAAATACAGTTTCTCTCCTCTGTTCATTCCAGTGGTGTATTTCACATGTGCTGCTGCATCTCTGTCACTGTGGTTACAACCACAGGTTCAAAGACAAACACCAGTGAATGCACATCTTTTCAACATTACACACAAGGTCGAAGATATTGATCCTCGAATTAGTTTAGAATGGTTGCTTGGTCATTAAAACCTTCAAACTTCTCACATTCACATTGATGTTACCACCATTTTGGTCGATAATAAAACATTGGAAATCACAAAATTTTTTTTTTTTTTTAAAACCTATCAAATTCTGTGATATTTCATAGAAAAAAAATCTGATTAGAAAGTTTTCTTAAAACACCTTTTTTAAAAATCTGTAATAAAATTGCACAGTGTGTCTCCCACATGATTATGTAGATATATATTCTGTTATTGCAGTATGTAACCCAGAAGTACAATATGGGTGTGCATTCTTTCCCCTTCTTTGCCATTACCTCAACTGTGGAGAAGCGAAGAAGTTGCCTTGGCGGTTTGAGGCAGATGTTGCTTTGCTCTTGCTCCCAAATCTAAAGGTGAAGAGGTCGGGGGTGGAAGGGACAAACAACTTTAAAGTTCAGAATTTTAGCAAACACAAAAAGCAAAACAATAGTGCAGATGAGTGTTTGGAGGAAAAACCAGGAACCTATTCTTAATACGTGGACAACTGAATTAGCTGCATTTAATCGATGATAAGTTTGCGAGTTTTGGCAGTTGCGTGTCTACATTACACCGGTCTGGAAACTTTATGACACTTTTTTTCCTGTAGAATATAGTGAATCTCAGTTTAGCTGCTTTTTTTCTTTAATCTAAACCGTACATCATACAGTAAACAACTTAGGCTGTAGCCTTGGTACACTCACATGGGATATTCCACCTTTTGACAATATGCATATCTATTTCATGTACTGGTTATCAGTTTCCTTGATTCCTAATAATTGGTCAACTATATCACCAGGATCAAAAACAAGGTTGCATCATGATCAGACATTAAGCAGATAATCATGACAGAACACTACACAACCTGTTCACATGATCTCCGTTTACACGTTGATATGTATCGCATATTACTAAAAATTAGGACCAATAGCACAGAGCACATTTTATTTAATATAATACAGAAATAAGTTTCCTTATTTAGATTGGCACCGTTGATATGATTTGTTTACAGTACCTCCTGAAACCTGCCACCCACATTGCAAAAGGAGAGACTAAATAAAATAAACTTTGTCAACACCTTAGAAAGTTCAAATAGAAAATTAATTTTCACCTTGCTGTCAATCAAGGCTACATGGATTAAAATTTAAAAAGGATTTTGATACAGCTGATTTTTCCTCCTGGATTAGGCCTTGCGATATGAACAAAGTGGCTCTGCTTCACGTCTGTTTTGTGTGAACAGGATTTAAGAAAGTGTGAGTGAGCTTACAGGGTGGTGCTGGACAGGGTCTGCATCATGCGCTGAGACAACGAGCTGGATGAAGGTGTTTTGGCCATCATCTGGTGCTCTGGAGTCGTCACTGGTCCCAATATGCTCACTGCAGATGAAGTAAAGATTGATAGATACTCAGTTTAACAACATAGTTACTTGTCAGTCAAAAATGTTGAGTGTAAATGCTCAAAAATAAGAAAACTTGGTTGCAGTCTGCAATCCTTCATGTCATGCTCACCAGTCAAATCGTACTGATTGTCTCAACCTCACTGTGTTTATTTTAGAACAGATTTTATGCCTTGTCAGTGTACCATTCTGTGAATTACCTTTTTGGTTTGGAGTGCCAGCGTGGTGAGCATTATCCATGCCGAAGCTATCTGGGTAGGCAAACTGGCTCCAGTAGCTTTCTGGAATACTGAACAAGCGCTCTATAATCTGTGAAGATAGAACATAAATCCAGCATTTGCAGTCAAAAACTTTCTGGAGAAGAGAAACCCTGATTTTAAAGTAAAGAAAAGCACCAAAAGCCATATATCTGAACTATGTACTACTGTACAGACACTAGGATTCTGTAATGTAATATATGGTCTAAGCAGGTATTCCTCATTCTCTTTACCCTTGGTTGTCTACTGGTGTCATGCAGGATGGTCATAGGGTCTGGATCGGGGACAGCGTGACCCACAAGGGTGGGACCAAACACCCTGGCTAGGTTGTTTACATCCATCTTGGTATCCACACTTTGAGACACTCTGCGAAAAGAGGAGTGGAAAATTTCACAATCTCTACTGCAGAGATGAAGGAGATTTCAATATGTTTAACGTCCCAAATTTTACACTTGTCCAAAATTTGGGCAAGTAGTTGTTTACACCACTCCTGCCATGTGTAGAGAAGATAATAGCAGAGGGAACGAAAAATGTGATGAAAAGGCTCTTAACACTGCTAAAAATGTGATTAATGAAAATTACTTCAGCAGATGGATCATCAGGCAAGCCAGTGTGTCTCGGTTGGGTTGAGGCAGCTCACTGATTGTCTGATACAACATGGCGAGACTGTTGCCATCATCCTGGATTTCTACAAAGCAAAACAAAAATGAAGATCAGACATTTAATATTCATGTACATAGCCGTTCCCTCTATCACACAGAGGTCATATAATCATTTCATGTAAACCGTTGTTCTGAACAGTGTTAACATTCAGACAGACATAAAGGATTCTGTTAGTGAGGAAAAATTCACCAGCTGCGGCCATGAAAGCTTTGTTGAGGTGGAAGGTGAGCAGTGGCTCTGGAAGGTTTCTGAGGAAGTCTTTGAGGACGCCTGTAATGACATTGATGTCTTCCACTTTGTGAAGAGGAGGCAGAGTCTTTCCTCTAATGAGCTTTTCCTTCAGCTCTTTCACCAGCCGCTCCTGGCCAGAAACTCTGTACAGGCCAACCTGGGGCAAGGAAAAGATAAAAGAAAGTAGCTCTTAATGTCCAGCTGCCTGTGATATTCTATTATAACTAATTAGAGAGAAATTATCTATTGTTATCACTCAAGGGAAAGGATTAGCATGAAGGTAACAAGTAAACAGGGGCTTTATTAAATCCTGTGTCACCTCATGTAGGCCTCTGTGTTCAATCTCCTTAATGCAGTAGATAACCAAAGCTGGGATCTGTGGAGAGGTAGCTGGAGCAAAATCAGCCAGTGTGGCCTAAACAAAAACATGCAAACGTCAGTTAATATGTACTGTAGGTAATATGAAAATATTCTTAAAAAGCTTTGGCTTGACAGAATGTATACAACAAGGAGAAAAATGTACCTCTGTGTTCTTGATGGGAGCACTAACAGCTGTGGGATTACAGGGAAGGGGACAATGGTCACGACACTCGGGATGGGTCACAATCCTGCAATCCTGGCAGCGAAGATAAAGCTTGCCAAACTTTGTTCTTCTTCCACATGGCACACAGAACTCAGACTTGATCACCTTAGTGACAGGGAAACATATTTTAATTAAGCTCGACAAGCTAAGAACGTAGAGATATGGTCAAAATTTTACACATTTAGCCATTAAGAATCGATTCATACTGTTTTGGGGTTGAAGTGGTGCTTCTTTCCTCCTCCGTTAGCTCTGGGGGTATGGCGTTGGGCTGGAAAATCTTGGACTGGTGTGCTGGGAGCCTCACTCACAGTCTCAGATTGGTCCGTAGTGGTTGTATCAGCCCACTGTGGAGCAACTGCAAACAATCACGTGTTAGTAAAAAACCACTGAATAAACTCACCTAGAAAAATAGTGCATGTTGGTTTTCCAGTATAAATCAGGTTTTTTTGCCAATTATTTTGGCCAGCCTTGTTGTAAGTTCCTATAAATAAAAGAGGAACCAAAAAAAAAAAGATGTAGAAAATTCTCACCACTCTTCTTTCTGCTGCGTGTCCAGTAGGGAACAGTTTCAATGGTGGAAACAGCCTCAACAGCGCCACCATTTACAGGCACAGTGATTGTTGTTTTAGCCACAATAGACTCGTTAATCTGAATGAGATGGAAGGAGATAGTTCATGTGATTTTTATAATCCATCAGTACAATCATCCAAACTTTACAGAATGTTTAGGTGTTATTGAGCACAGTCGGCTGCAGAGGTCAGTATTACCCTATCTGAAGGACATCCAGTTGAGCGGGGTTTCTTCACAGCTTGTGGGGGAACTTCAGAACGTTTTCTGGAGGAGCGCTGCAGAATTAAATGTAATTTCAAAAACACAGTTATTGTCAACACAGATGTTAATTGATGTAAAGAGCTACAAACGGCCTTTCCCCCTCCCCTGGAGCAAAATATCAAAATCATGTGCTTGTCAAAGCAAGCAGAGAAGCATGTGTTCAAAGAGTGACATGAGACATGTCTCACTCGTTTCTGTCGTTTACGCAGTCTCACATTCTTCATCACAGAGGAATCCCAGTCCTACCGGAAAAGTGGAGAGACAGAGCAATAATATTTAACAAGCCAATTTATTATTGGTGTCTCTTAAATAACCGTGTCCTCACACTGTTTGATCAGCAGCTTTACTAAAATCAGCAGTGACACTTTGAAGGAAATATGCTCATTTACCAGAGAGTCATCTGTTTGGTCATAGCTGATGTCTGAAAGCAAAGAAGCTGATTCATCGATAGTAGTTAATCTGTAGGAGAGATCAGTAAGTGAGAGTCAGCAAGTGTCCATGGTTAGTTGGAGAATGGTAACATTTTTTAGTTAATTATTCAAGTTTTCTTAAAATACACACATTCCATTCTGTTCCTTAGAGTGTTCAGTATGCATGCCAAATTTCCTCAGGTAACAATGAAATAACAGTCTGTCATCTCAATACTCTCTGTGCTCAATGTTCAGCCTTTTTTCTCATCATTTTCAGGAACAAAAAGGATAAAGATGCATCCAGAACAAATGAGGTGAGTCTGACCTTCGGCTGGAGTTGAGGTTGGTATTAGCAGCTTGTGCTGCTTGGGAGTGGGCACTAAGGAAGGCCAGGGCTGAGCGCTGTTCCTCACTTAGGTGGATACTGCTGCCATTGTTCTCTGAAATCAGTAGCTCTCTGATCAGCTGCAGCTGTCGCTCCTTTTATTCCCACAAAGCAGCAGATTGAAAGAGACCAATGCAGAAAAACGCATTATTAAGTAATAATGAATAATGAACAATTGCCAGTAACACAAAAAATATTCACACTGAATGACCTATAATGGGAAGTGACCAATGACATTATCTGAAGATCAACTTTAAGCTTTTTCCTTTTTACATTGTTCTAAAACAGCTGTAATAGTGTAGCACTCACTAGCTTCTCATAGACTGCCTCAGCCTTCTGCCGCCGGCGGATCTCCACATCCACCTGGTTCCGAGCATGTTTTAGTTTGACCTCCAGGGCTCCCCTCTCAGTCTCTGTTTTAGCCAGCATCTCTTTACAGGAAACCAGCTCCTCACCTGCCCGCAGCCACTTCTTACGGCAGTCTTCAAAGTTTACTGCCATCTGGAGAAACTCTGAATACCAAGACAACAGTAGAAGAGATCATTGTATTTCTACTGTACACAAAAAACCTCTATGGTAGTTGTGTCTATTACCTCCCCCCTCAATTTAATTTGTTTCATTAAGAGTGGCAAGGCAACTGCAATATAAATTATAGAGAAGAAAAAGACAGAGTGTTCTGTTATAAAGCGAACAAATGATTAACAGTGCTTTTCTGTTAGTTCTACTACACCCCGTGACCTCATTAGTCACTTCAACCCCTATTTGTGTCACCGGGTACACCATCAATTTCCACAGACTGTCTGTAATCCTGGCACTGTCAGGATTTAATTTACTAAAGCAGATGCTCTATACTCAGCACTACTTACGACTCCTAGTCTGTGATTTGTATAATTCATTGCACCAACTAACACAGTTTGGGACAAAAAACGGCACAAATTGCACCCGGGTTATTTACTGCTACCAACATCGTGGCACAGCAGACAAGCTTAACACTGCACAAGTATGTAAACAGGCTTCTAAAGGGGTGGCAAATACCAAAACAAAGTGTGGAAATAACTTACGTGGTTCAATGCCCTCATTCAAACCGTCCACCTGGGCTGTGAGACTCTGAAACTGGTTGTACAAGTTCACCACAACCGACTCCATTGTGTCTGTGTTAGCTGAAGACACAAACTTAGATTAGTGAGAAGACATAAGATTAAAAGGAAAAAAAAAAGTTACTTTCATTTTAGCGACATTCAGTTGAATTAGCTCCTGACTCGCCACTAAATGAGAAGTAACGGTAGCAGCGTTTCACGTCGAGCAGGTCAACTTTACAAATGTGGAGGAAAACTAGTAGGTACAATAAGGTTCGCAGTTATAGAACTAAAGCACTAATGCTGCTTGTGTTTAAGCCTCATCTTTATCGACGGTGTACTGAAACCAACTCGCAAGCTGTTTAGCTAAACTTAAGCTAGGTTTAATTGTTTATGTGCGTGCGAGGAAGCTACCGACATGCTAGCGTTAGCCTCTTTGTGCTGCAGCCTATAGCTACGTTGGTCAAAACAAACAAACAAACAAACAAAAGACAGTTACCTTTGCAATATAGTTCCTGTTACGGTGCGGCGGAAAAATAGTGTAACACCGTCCGATGTAAAAAGCAGAGGTTTGGTGGTTTATTCCTACAGCAGCACTCGCAGCAGAGCCACACCTGCCTGATAAAGTTTGCACATTCTTCTGCAAAGTTCAAAATCAGCGCCGTTTTCTTCTTCGCCGGCTAAAGGGGGACGTTTGTGCGCTCTGCCGCCCCCACAGAGCCAGAGGTGTAACTGCAGGGAGGCTGTCGAGACGAGTTTACCAAAACTTTCCCTAAACTTTTAAGAAGTCACTGAGAGGCATTCCGCATAGTATCGTAGAAGGTGGATCCATGTTCTTATAACATTTGTAATCTTAGGAATACTTACAGACAATAACTAAAATTTTGCTTTTTTTTTTTTAAAACGTAATATATTTCACAATCACTAAGTTGGTGCATTTTTAAAAATATTATAGAGCTTATGACATAATGTATTAATGCATTATGTCATAAACTAATGGATAACACATCAATAATGAAGGGCCTCCATAGTTATTATACAGCTACATTATAATATATGTTATATTGCCAGTAATGGTACAGTGAATTGTCTCATCTGTTGTACAGTACGATACACTCCTAAAAGAAAAGTCTAGTTCACATTCAGGGCATGACTGGAAGTTTGACATCAAATCTGCACCTGGAGTCACATTCGTTCAAACATCTGCTTCTAACTAATCTTGCTAATCATTAAGTAGCACTGAAATCATTTTACTGGTCTGAGATAATCCGAAGAAGTGTTCTGGCATCAGGCTGATGTACAAAATAAGCTTCTGTGTTTTTTGTTTTTGTAAGTATATACATATACAACTATATTGGTAATATGTGAGTTGTATGGAGGGTTAGCCATTATTTAGAACAAAATTAACAAATGCTTTGTCATTCAACATTTATGTTGCGGGTAAAGTTTAGTCAGAGCAACATCAAAATTTCAAATTAAAGTTTTGATCACATTGATTTCTGAGCTCAAAGTTCCTCTTCCCCTGTAAAGGAAGCATCTGCGTCGGACTATTGGGGAAGATTTTCATTTAAAAGATTTAAAATGTATTTTTATAATAACAAAATTATAGCCGGTTATGATTTATGTACTCTCTAAGTGTGTTTACTGAAGCATACGTCTGATGATATTGATATTCAAAATGCAAAATCAAAAGAAGATCGGCATTGTTCCTGAGAAGGGTGTCTTACCCCCATTTACCCTACCTAATAACCCCTGTAGTAATATCAACAACTTTAATATATACGCCATTTTTCACAATAATTAAATGTGGCAGTTTTGCTTGAGGTGAGTCAGCCCAGTAAATGTACTTCCTGCTCTCCTTATGTGTGTCAATGGATGCAGCACAGTGGGGTTAAATTATGTGTGAAATCATAAAATCCTTTGAAACAGTCAGTAATTGTGTTCTGTTGTTTTGTGTTGGCACATGGGATGCACACAACAGCATCATTAATCAGCTGCGGATGGCATATCTGGGTGCAGCAGCAGCTCTGCAACATTTAATGAGCGCAACACAGTCGCTAAATCAGCCACAGACTTTACGTGTATATGTCCATAACACATTATAAAATCTTAAACAACTCGAAAACAGACTGAGGTTGATTTGTGCGAGCCTGTGTGATTTTATGAAATTTATTGGCTGTCTGGTTTAACGTTACACTTCACCTGAGAGGTGTGTATGTCTCTTCTGAGTGCTGCAAGTCCATTATAGTTGATTTGAGATAATAGGATCTGTCAGTCAATATGCCCTCTCTGTCGTTATCAATTATTCATCTCTATATGTACATTTCCTTTATTCATGGATCATTTAACTGTCAGAATTTTCTTTTTACACCAGTCACCGTGTGCCCTTTCTTAAATCGAGCAGACTAATTCTGGAATTTCCGAGTACAAGCACACACTGGAGCTAGAGAGAAATGGAAAATAATTAAATTTGCATAGCAGTTCCTTTCAGGAGACGTTTTTTTTTCATTCACCATAAAGGTTAAGCATATTGCATTCAGGTCTTCATTTATTATTTATCATATCCGACAAAATACTGTAAAAGGCACATAACCCATTTGTCAAGTTTATTCAGACAGGCAATGTTAGTCAGCATACACTCTCACAGCCATATACAATGCTGCACGCCAGTAACATGGACTGTAATACCTCCGATATATTTGTATTTTTCCGTGTTTTTAAGACAGAGTGTATACCCAGATAATGAGATCACCAGTTTTCATTTGTCTGTATAAAAGGTGCGTGGATATTATAGCATTATAACAGCATTCAAATTTCAAATCAAAATTTTTATGTGCATCTCAGGAGTGAGAAAAGTATGAGGCTGCTCTAATGCACAGAAGTTTCAAAAGAAGCACCTGCGGATTGTGCTGACTCCAGAGTTCGGCCTCCACACTGGCACCATTGGAAGGGTAATGGATCCACAAACAGCCTCATGGGAAACACTTGGCAAATACGCAGTACATCTACTTAGGAGTACACACCGAAGCGGAACACACCCTCAATACATCCTGTGCATGTTTGTGCACACAAAGCAAAGGGAAGTTTTTAAGGTATGACAGGCTCTCTGATAGCGCTTTTCCCGTTCATTGTTTCTGTGCACTTTGGTGTAAACACCGTTAGCAGATTAAAGTGCTTATCGGTTCTTTACTTTATAAAATTGCATTATGGCTTTATTGACAGTGGCAGAGGAGATACACAGTAAATGTGAGGCAAGAGGGAAGTGTGATATGCAACAAGGTTCTAGTTGAACTGGAACCCGTTGCAGTTACGTGTTACAGTATGTGATTTAACCCTGCAGCTCTGGCTTACCCACCGCTGAACTTACAAAATAATCCATATCAGAGGAAATGGTCACAGTAATATGAACACCTAGAAAATGTGATACAATCCAATTAGCCCTGCGATACATACGAGTACTGTGTAACTTAAAATGTTACATTTTTCTGTAGATGGTTTAAAATGTTTCATTTGATTATTTTGTCATTTTGAGGCTGTGGTTACTGATGGGGTTGTATTGGATTACAGTGTACTGGAAGTGTACCTCGTATTTTGACCACATTATAGACACACCTTACATTTCAGCCTTACATTACAGTTCAATCAACACCACTCTGACAACAAAAAACCAACCTATACAAGCTTTACAAGGATAGTGTTTGTGGTTGGATTCCATTATATTTGAAAGGTGTACATATTTTGTGTCGCCCTCTATGGATTTTGTAGTCTGGCACCAAAAGTTAACATCTTGAGTTAATAAGATGTTTTTACAAAATGGAATGTCACAACATTGACAAGTGAAAGGATGCAAGATAAATCTGTTGGTGCTAAGTGAGTCTGCAAATATGTGGAAAAGCTCTGGCAAAGTGAGTACTGTGAAAAGATAATGTGCCGTGGTGCACTCCAAACATCTCATCAATTGAATTACAAGTGGAATCTCCCACTCGGAGAGTGTTTACTGGAAGACGGCTCCCTCTTTCCTTCCCTCTTTCCTTTACTGCTCCAGGGCCAAAGCATCATCAACAAAAACAATCTTTCATTTCTTGAAACCTGACACTTGGTGAACACTCTGCCCCTCAAATCAGACACATTCACAAGTGGATTACACAGTTCATATTTTCCTGTTTGAAAAATGGGAGAGAACTCTATAAAAATATTATTTTTATTGATTGAAGCTTGTTTGAGCAGTGTATCTTGTTGCTTAAAGGAAGTACAAGAACATTTAAACTAAAGCAAAATAAAAAGATTCCTGTCCACACATTCCAGTAATAATTATAAATTGTAGATGTAAGACTCTCATGTAGTGATTAAACTATTATCTGACATAGAAGTGAAATAAGCCCTGTATAGTTCTCAAGAGTCAGGCAGTGCTCAGTGCTTGAAGCTGATTCACAATGCATTTGTAACAGTGGTGTTTCTCAGGAAAATGCAGACAAAATGAGAAAGTAAAAAAAAAAGTTGACACTTTTGCAATGGCTCAGTATTACTAGTTTAAACATATGTTTTCAGAGTTATTTTAGAATTGCTTAAAACCTTCAGTGCTAACGCTTCCTTTTGCAGACACCTGAAATTATTTAAAAAACATAAATAACCAAATAAATCAAAGCAAATAGGAGAAAAAACCTGGCACTGGAGATGGCTTACAGTTTGTTGTAACTGCATAAGGGAATGACTCAGGTGTATTTTCAAAGTTCAAGTCCTCCTGCTTTTCTCAAGTATTAGATAACTGTGCTACATGCAGAGAAATGTAAGGCAGTACTGAGTGGTACTGATTCCTCATCTCGCAGTCTCTCATCTACTGATCTCCATGAGCGTGGCGTGCAGGTTTCTGTGTTACAGCACATAGCTGCTGAAAATGAGCTAGTCGATGAAATTAAAACTGGCAACAATGTGGGCTTTCTGTCACAGTCCTCATTAACTCATGGTGCAAATGGGAATGACAATGATGAGAATGATAGCCACTGCAGTAGCAATGAGCGCAAGCAGCTTGCAGATCTTGGCTCGGCGGAGGTCAGCCTCCTTACGCCTGAGTAAAGCATCGTAGCCTGGAGTGTAGATGTCGTCCATCCAGAACTCCATGTTGTTGGGGTTCAGAGACTCCTGAGTCTGAGGAACATAATGGCATTTAGTTTTAAAGCAGAAATATGAATGCATGGATGAATTGACATAATAATCTAGTCTACTTAAATATTGATTCTTTCCGGCTAGTCATCTATTTGAGACAGTAAGTCAGATTTTACTACCCCCACTTTCTTTCTCGTCATACATTATGCACTTATGTCAGGCCGGTTATCCCCAGAAATAAAGCATTCATTCTTCCAAAACAAACACGGATTAAAATCACTGACTTCATATATTTTTACCTGTAAGTCCAAAGGGGAGATTCGTGCCTCTCTGTCATCTACAGTCCATATGGGCCTTCCCCTCCCCTCAGCCATGACCTTCCCAGAGGTCAGTCCCCCTGTCAGACTGCTGTCTTTGTGGCGGAACAGGGACGAGTTAAACACTTGGTCCACCAGGGTGGTGGGCTTTTGGGACAGTAGGTTAGTGGTGCTGCTTGATTGATCTCCCTAAAACAAAAATAAACCAAACATAGGTTTTATATGTACTGTTACAAACACTAAAACCAACTTAACCTTGAAAAATATGTGAAATTCAGCTAAAATATTATCAAATTAACATGTCAAGTACCACCATGCACATCATTTTGAAAGGATGAGCCGTATTTCTTTTCAGCCCGGATAAAACATTATTCACTGTAAAGCTTCAAACCAATAAACCCTCAAAGTGGCCCGATTAGGTTGTCAAACAACCACATAATCTCATTTCTCTACTCAGCAGAATACAGAGCTAATGACAGGCATGGCAGATTTTGTGGCTGCACAGAATAAATATACACATCGTGCAACAACTGGACAGTTGCTTCAAAATGATTTGCAGCTGAGTCTGATACTCATTTGCTTATAAACTCATCTCCCATCCAACACACATTTCTTTTTGTATCATAGAAAACATAGGATAAAATGTAGAACATGCACATTGAGTATATTATGTAAAATCACTATACCTGTCCAGTTTTTCTTTGTGAAGATTTGCCATTTTTACTTTTTGAGAATGACACGGTCCAGTCCCTTGCGGAGTCAGGGATGTTCAGCTGTTTGGAGTCAGATACACCTTTCTCTTCAGGCTGGGTTTTGGAGGCACGACGAGATGTTGCGTCTTTCTTCCCTTCTTTTGACGCCTTAGAATCTACTTGGCCTTTGCTGCTTTCTGTTTGGTCCCCAGGTGTGTTCCATCGGCTCCAGTCCAAACTACTTGTGCTGGTTCCTGGAAACAGATGCCCGGATACAGACAGAGGTTGAGGGTCTGATGACTCAGAAGGAGTTAAAGGGTGGCTCATAAAAGAAGAGACACCGCTGAGAGGCTCAAGCCATCTCCCGCCGGTCCCTTGTCCACCACCACTGATAGGCTGCTGGATCTTTTCATCCAGTCGCTGCAAAGCGGAGAGCACCTGGGAAATCTCAGACTTCACATCGTTTAGTGATTCCAGCTGTCTTTCTATCTGACTCATACGGAGCAGCAGCTTACACACACTGGCCTTGAGCCCGTCATCACTACTTTCCAAGGAGTGGAAGAGCCTTTGGAGTTGACCAAGACGGCCACGTCTGGCCTCAGGGGTGTCCTGGTTAATGGAGCTATCATTGGGATGCAGGACTCCCGTGGACCCACACATGCTTATGTCATCTAAGAAACGAAAGATCGCACTGATGTCATCCTCACCAAACTCAGGGTCGTCTAATGAGGTCATGAAAGAGAGGCGATCAGCGTGAACCAGGCTACGAAGTCGCCGGGGGTCTGGTGGGTCTGTTTGTGTTCCCTGAGCCTTGAGTCCATCACCTCCACCTGGTAGTCCACTATCCCCACTCTCACCTATTGAGGACCCCAAATTGCTGATGGCAGGGGTCGATCTTCTCGGAAGTTGTCCCCCTTGTGATTCCATCCCCATTCCAATGATGCCCAGGCCTATCCGGTCCTCCAGACTGTGACTCTTATTGCTCCAGATGGGCCTTTTTGTCCTGGGTGGTTGAAGGTGCCGAGGGGATGACTCCTGGACTGACCCAGGTCCAAAATAAGTTGAGTCCTGTAGGTCATCGATGCTCTCATGTTTAGCCCGCTGCTCTGGCGATTGATGAACTGTTGTGGGCGACGGGTAAGGATTTGGGATCATTTCAAAGCTGTGATTGTCGAAGCCTTTCGCTTTGTTGGGACTGGGAGACTCACTGCTAACGGTCACCTGTGGTATAAGCGGCGGCTGGTTGTGGAAGTCCCTCCTAAAGATGTTTCTCTTCTGGTCAACAGAAGCTCCCGGTTCACCCTCAAACACCTCCATATGAGCAGAATCTCCACTCGACTCACTGTCCGTGTCCAAAGGCAGGTAGATGTTCTTCATAACCTCATTGGGGATTTGACCGCTAGGGTACAAAAGTGTGGTGTGAGGCAAGTCGAAAGACACAGCCCTCGCCCTGATGGGAGGGGAGGACACGAGTGAGATGGGATCCGGGGGAAGACTTGCTCGCTTGCGGGCAGAGTAATTTGATTTTGGAAGCAGCAAGCTCTGGTCGATGGACGTGCCACTGGAGTCGGAGTGGGCGCGTGGTCTTTCTCGACCAGGAATGGTCAGCTGGTGGATTCCAGGCAGGCTGGGACCTGGGGACTGGTCGACAGGGAGGACTGTCTGTGCCCTCATTGGTTGGCTGTCTTCAGAGACCCCACCCGTCATCTGAATAAGATTAAAGATAGTTACTATGTCAGCAGCGACGCCTATGGGTGATAGCCCCTGGCCTCTGGTGGAAACCCGGTCTCTGAACAGAGTGGCTGGGAAACAGGGGTCCCTGCTGGCAGCAGCAAACAACAAACTCCTGAGCTCGACCAGGTGCTCCAGATCAAAGCGGGTGCTAACCATTCGACAAAGGTCCTGGAATGATAGCCACTGGCGCATATTGGCCAGTTCCTCCAGGATCCCCAGAAGGACTCCGGGGTATTCCTGCTGCAGGTTAGCCATGGCTGCTCACCTGACAGGGAGAACAAAGCAGTTAGCAACACAAGGCAAGGTAATTATATTTATAGAGCACCTTTCAGCAATAGGGCAAATCTATACTCAGGACATAAAAAGGACATTAAGAAAAGACACAAATATAATATCAATATTAATACCCACATAAACTGGATTGCAGGTGAAACAGAAGTCCCATATAGTTAGAGTATTTGCAAATTAAAATAAAACTTTTGTTTTAGTGGTCCAAGAAAACAGACCTTTGTTCAATAAAAACAAAAGTAGAATAATGATAAAACATGCATATATACTGTGTGTTTGTAAAATAAGAACTGTAACGGAATCTTATTGTATTGTCTATATTCTATTAATATCAGATGTATTTTATTATTATCATACTGTCAGAACCATTATGGAGTCTATGTTATTCTATAATCCTTGTAACGCCAAAGTATTAATTTATGCTTTTCTTCAATTACCAGCTTCTCTTGGTCACAATGTCAGCAGTGTTTCAAATTAGATTCTGCTTCTTGTCACCATTTAACTGTGTTTGATAATGATTTAGAATCAAAGTAGACTTTTACAATTGAACTGGGAAAAAAGGCACTTTGATTGAGTGAGATTCAGGAAAGCGACCTTATTTTGGGGTCCGAAAATAACCGATCATCTGATCTGGTGACGCCGTCTCACTGCGCACATCTTTACCTCACTGGACATTTTGAATCCACTCATTTCTATTAACAGCTTCGGGCCAAACTCTTCACTTTACTGAGCAAATGCAATGACTATATTAATGTGCATTTGGTAACTTCATCCCAAGTATGTGTTGCACGTAAAAACGACTCAGATAAGAGGAGGACGGGACGGTTTCCTTTTTAAAGAAGAAGGGGAAAAAAGCGCACCAATCTGCTCTGAGAGGCGCATTTGGGGTTTGTGTGTCAGCGGAGACAATATCAATGACATGACACTGCTGCAAATGCAATCCAGGTTGTAAAGCCCTCACTAACGGACCGGCTAAAGCGAAGGTGCTGCATGTCCTCTTACCTGAATCTACTGGCGGAGAATCACAACCACACCTGTATCCATCAACAAAATCCAGATTTTACGCGAAGAGCGAGGCCATATTCCAAATAGGTCCGGCTCGGATCGTAACTATCACACTCCTTTTAATGGGCTTCTCTGTTCGTAGCAGCGACAAGCCCACAGCCCAGGCAGGAGAGGAGAAAATTAGAAATCAGGTCATCTTCCCACAAGTCCCTGCAGTCCCCTAAGGGACCTCAAAATACATCCAAACGGTTTCCCCTAACCTCATATCAGCTCAGACACTTGCAAAGTCAACAGTACAGCCACATTTCTAATTGATACATTGGAGAAGAGACACAGTCTTGGCAGGACGCTCTAGATGTGTATGAGTGGCTCAGAATCACAAGCATATTTTCTCAGGGTGCCATAGCAGTAATTGGTTAGTGTGCAAGTTGAGCATACAAATAAAGGGCAAATTAAAAATTGATGTTTGCTAATTGACACTCCTAAAACTCCAAACTGACAGTAAACCATAAGGTCTGGGGTAAATTGCCTGCTAGATTGCTGCACACACACTGAACTGTCTGCCAGACTTGAGCTTTCCCAGACTTTGCACCATTACTCTGCATTATCATCCATAAAGGCTTGTACTTAAAACCCCATTAGAGCAAGAGAAGGGCAAGGCTTTCATCGCTGAGTAGTAGCACTCTGCTACAATCAGAGTGGACATCTCTAATTCATCTGACAACTCAGTGAGGAGGGCATCCATCATCCCGTGTACTCAGGAATCAATGCAGTGGATGAGCCGCAGTATGAAAAGCAGTGTAGGTATAAGGCAATAATGCATTACTGTCAGGCCTGTTGCATGGAAAGCCTAATAGCCGGGTGAAAAGACAAAACAAAAGTTGGCGAATTGAAACGATAACCAGCTTTGTTTGTTTTTCAGAGTTGTGTTATTTCATGGTACATTAAAAAAAAAAAAAAAACACTGACAAGTTTTAGTCACCTGTTTAAAGCACAAACACTTCTAGTAACATTCAAATCTACACTTGACAGTCAATTTATATACAAAGTACAGACAGATTCTCTGGTACATTACTGACAATATTATCAACAGAGAAGAAATTGTTTAATAAGGTGAAAACTGTAAAAAATAAGAGTAAACATTCTTACAAGCTGTTGCTATATGAGTATGTAAACATTATGTGCAAAATACAATATGGCTTTCAGGGCTGCTCGCTTTTTTCCCCACATTGTCAAGCTCAGAAACAACAGATGCAACACTTAAAAGTAGTTGATTTAGCTTTTATTTATTACTATTCCTATTCAGTAGCCACTGCTACAGCACCGCTAAAGGTGAGGTTTGTTCTTCTGATTGTTGTATTCCAGCTGACATCAAGAAAGTTTTTTTCTTTCCCTGATTTTTGAGTTTGAGTGTAGTTTATGCCGCAAAGCATGCTGGGATCTCCATTAAAGTGAATCCGAGACTAATCAACCTCATGCATGAATCATGTATCAGTTATAGCCTCATTTTATGCACGATCCACAATAATGAAGATACGGATAAATAGAAATGTGTGGCAAAAACAGCATACTGGTACTATTTAGTTCATATTTTCAGGGGAGCTCATGTCTTATTAAGAGGGGCCGAGCTCCCCCCGGCTCCCCTGCAGTTAGGGTGTTAAGATCTCAGCTGAGATGAGACTCTCGTTCTCTTTGCTTCTTTGGCTTCGACTTCACCACTGGAGTTACAAAGGTTGGAGTCAGTGAAGGATTCAAAGCTGGATCTAAAGCTGGGTTCAGGGCGAGCAGGTCCAGCATTGGGGCACTCTGATCGCCTGTTGAAATATAGCACAGTTAAAGAGGACAGCAAACAGTGGTCTGGCATTTATTTATTTTTTTGTATTCTCTAGTGTAAAGTTACTTACCAATGTTGTCCTCTTCATCACTAGGTTCTGGGGCTGGACTGTGGACAGAAATCCGGGCCAAAGCTGCCAGCTCAGTTATGAAGCTTTCTTCTGCCTCCTAATGGACACAGCAGTGCAGTGCTTACAGAAAATGACTGTGCAGGATGATACATGTACTCATATGGGTATCATCAGTTTAAGAAGTACAGGAGACATGAAGCATACTAACCAGTAACTGTCCTTTGATCTTTTCCATGGTTTGATCCTGGGTTACTTTCTTCTGCCTCAGCTCCTCATATATCGTGTCCTGATCCAACTCACACTGCTCCAGCACTTTTCTTTTGTGAAGTTCAACCCTGATACATACGAAAACAAAGACAAAAATCACATTTATTCTCATTATAATAATTAAATAGGCGGTCACCCAAAAAAATACCAGCACCCCCCAGTGTTACTGTACCTCTGTTGAAACTCAGCAGAGGCAGGTTTCTTGCCCCAGTTCACCAGCTCCCTTAGCAAGGCTCTGTTCAGCTGACTGCTGTTGTCTTGCTTCTCATTCACCTCTGAAGGGAATGTTCACAACAGTGAAGTTAACTCAGATATTCTTTGTGACCTGGTGCAGTCTGTCTACTCAAAACTGTTCATTGATTTTACTTGTAAGTTACCCTGTACAATTTAAAATGTAAATATTGCCATTAGATGTATTGTACTGAAGTTAACCAAAAGGTAGTTTTCAACTGTGGTCCCATGGCCGGTCACAATATAGCATATGCATAGTGACAATATAACAATACAAATGAGACAAAACAGGACACATAACACAAAGTAAAGTCAAACAGAATACCTAATACCAATTAACTTACACAATTGTCTAAACAGCAAGTATAAAAACTCAAATCAGTCTATACACAGACAGTGATAGGTCAATGCGTGTTGTGGTTGGCGTCTCACCCTGGTTCAACCGATCCTGCTGCAGTGTTTTGGTAATGTCCTGCAGGTGAGAAAAGTAGCTTTCCACCAGTGCAGTGAGAGAATCTTTGGTCACATAAACACTCTCTGCGACAGCCTCTGTCAGGTGACGCTAATGAAAAATAAAGTTATAGTCTATAATATGCCTGGCAAAGTGATCACAAAAAGTTGAGTCTAATTTATAGAGGATTAATACGATTACAAATATGTTGGATTAAACTCTACCTTCAAGCCATCATCCTGTTTAGAGGTCTGTGTCCCTGTGGGTGAAGCCTCCATCATCTGTTGGATGGCGTGGCTCAGGGCGTTGCCCAGCACCAGCTGTGCGTGACTCTGAAGAAGCTCCGTTCCTGTTTCCAGTTCAGACAAGAACTCCTGTTGGAAGCTGTTCCCCAGCAGCTGACTCTCTGGGCCCAGATGTCTCTCTGCAAGGCTGGCGCTGCTGCTCTGTGATTGTTAGGAGAAACAACAGTGTTCAACGTGGTGCAGTGTTCTTACAGGTACGATTCCCTAAAGAAGTCAAAAGCAAATTACTAGCATAATACAGAATGGCCCTACAATGGGTTCTCAGATTTAGTACTTAATCAAAATACTATTTTTACATGTGTATATTTTTCCCACCTTGAGAGCTGAATTAGCACAGGCCTGGCTTCTACTGGGGTCCTCCATGAGCAGAGTTCTGAAGTCAGTCTGAGAGAGTGTCTTCAGCTTGGACAGTCTCATCTCCTTCAGGATGTGCAGACAGAAATGTCTGACCACAAAGTACCTCTGCACCACCACCAACAGGTGCTCGTGTTTCTTCTCTATCAGCCGTCCCATTTGACTGAAAGAAACAGATCACATTCCATTATTTTTTATTAACTCGTAAAAATTGACGTAGATACTGCATAAGTAGCTATAACCACAGAGAAGACAGCTGTGTTGGAAATCTGATGTTTGTGCCAATGTAGTTTTATTTATGCTCTCAATATGCCATAAATGTTTTTGACAGGTGTTCCCGTTTCACCTGTTGAGTGTGTAGCTCTGTCTGGCCAGCATGGCTCGGAGGATCTTCATCTGTTGTTCACTCAGATGTTTCAGACAGGCCTGCACCAGAGAGATGCCTTCACTCCATACCTACAGAATGAGAGGCTCAGTTAGAAACTCTGAAATACATTTGTAAAGTTAAACTCTTGCAAATATTTCATGGAACTAGATACAAAACAAAAACACTGAAAGAATCCAACTGCCAAACACCAATAAAGAAGATGATCAAAAGTGTATCTGATCCACCACATGTCATCTACCTGCCCATCTTTATCCAACTCAGCCTTCATGTCCTCCAGTTGCTGCTTTGTGGTACACTCTGCCTGCTGCAGCTGAGCAACCAACTCCTGCTCCAGATCCAACCACAGTTTCTCACAGTGTTCAGCAGAGAGCTTTGTTTGGGCTGCAACTGAGGTGAGAAAGACGTCCTTTGCTAGCTCTCCGAGTCTCTTTGACCAGGAGTTGCGAAGTTTCTGAGTATACAGGATTTTATGTAAGAACGGTGGATATACACACACACATGCAGAAGTATGTGTACAAATGCACACTTTATCAGTACATTTTTACCTTCCAAAGGTCACAGAGAGCGTCAGCAACCCTGTTGTCCTGCTGCAGCTCCAAGTCAGAAATCTGTTGCCTGTGTTTCATCAGCAACTCCTGGTACACCTGGAGGGAACATTAGCTCAGATTTAGACACCAGTGCCTTTTTGCCTACATGTATGACCAGTATTAGTAAGGCAAAGAATAGAGAAGAGACTCTTAGTTCTATAATAATTAACTGCAGGAATCTACAGCCAGTGGCTTGGCCTACTTCTTAGGTCCCTGGTCACATATTGATGTAAGGAAGTAAAATATTTTGACCTTGGTGAGCTCCTGCAGGTCGCTCTGAGTCTGTCTCAGCTCCAGTGTTTGGCTCCTCTCTTTCATCTGGCTCCTCTGAAGCTTTTTCCTTTTGGACTCCTTTTTGCGGCACTTCTCGTTTACCAGCTCATTTGTCTTTCTTGTGCACTCTGGAAGATAAAAAGTGGAACTTTCAGAAACGCTTGCCCAGTTGAGGATCACCCAAATAATTGCAGTTTGTAGAGCGGACCATGGTATAAATGTTTATTAATGCACTTTATTTCTGGTGATGAACGAGTATTGATAATATACCTCCTAACAGAAAGATGTCTTGTTGCTTTATAGCTCTATAGTTTAATGAGGCCACTCAGTGAGTAATATGTTCCGTCATAGATTCTTCTCTGTAAGGTTCTTGAACATGTGCACAAATGAAAATTAACATTTAAAAAAGCCCCAAAAGGAAAGGTTTAGCTACTGCAAACAGTGTTTACATTTAAGCAGTTTTATCATGTCTTTGACTGCACTTTTGCAGAAAAATGCTACGTGAAAGTCTGGGGTGTACTAATAGGCATGATATTCTGTGCTGCCCTGAAAGAACCTGACCTTATTTAAGAAGCTAAAGAGGATTCCCAGAAAATGGTCTATTTTGAGAGCACATCATTTAAGTTTGAAAAGTAGGCTACATATTATCCATTGCTGTTTGCCACTAGAAACTAGTTGAGTATAATCAAAGACACTTCTACACATATTTGGCCAGTGTTTAGGTAAGTCTTTGGCAGCTATCTTCCTCCACCCACAGAGGACTTACTATAAAATCCCATCTTTTGTTTTGATCGCACCTCGTAGTGAAGTTGCTAAATTTACGCATCTTACCCTCAGTACACTGCTGAAGGCCTTCAGTCAGAGTGACCTGAATCTCTGAAAGTATCTTTTCCATGTGGCTGAATTTCAAGATGTCATCACTTGTCAGCTGTTCGAGTGTTGTGGCAATCAAAGCCTGTCTCAAAGATACTTCCCGCCTCAGCAAGGCAGGCTGGGATTGAAGAAGCCCCGTCAGCTCCTCCCACCACAACAACTTCTGCTGTATCCTCTAAGAGATGGAAAAAAAAACAGACGTATTTAGAGCCACATGCTCAAGCATCAGTGCATCCAGGTCCTCAAGTGATAAAAACCAAAGTGAATAGTGAAAACCAAAGTGAATAGTGAGTATAACCACCAAGTTTTATTTTACCTTTAGATCAGCTTCTTGTACTTTCATCAGGTGGTTCTCTACTAATAGAAGTGTCTGAATTAGAGAGAGAATTACATTCTGCGCCTCATCTGGAGAGAAAATGCTGGTCTTCTTCAGCACATGCTGGCACAAATCTTCCACCTGTTTGCTGAAACTTTTGGACTATGAGGGGACAAGGACATGAGATATCCTGGTCAGTATTAATACAGAGTGGGGGGTAATAGATTTAAAATAGCTGATAAACTTTCTATTTACCGTTTGAAGGCCACGTTCAAGGAGATCTTTCTGAGCTCTCTCAATCTCTTCCAACGTGCAGGGAGCATCATGACTTTTCTCACTGACAGTTTGGCCTGTTGGCAACTGTTTCTTCAACTCATTTAGCTCCTGGTATGATGAAGGACAATGATGATGGGTTTAAAATTTTAAGCTCAATGTGTCTTTGTACAGCAAATTGAGAACTACAATAAAATGTGCACACAAAATACCATATGTGAGTAGCAGTAGAGTAACATGTGGCTCTACCTTTTCTTGCATCTGAAGAATATTTTTGGCAAAGTCTGCATCATTTTTGTCTTTTGGAAACCGACAGCTGAATATCATTTTCACCATCTGCAGAAAAATCTAAATTTTGAAAGTGAAACAAAACAGTTTAAGTTTTTTTCTTTGGTATTCTTTAAGAAATATAACATATATACAGTACATGATATGACAAATACTCACCAGGTATTTTTCTTCCTGAAGCTGAGAGCAGTGGTTTTGTACATCCTGCAGGGCCAAACAGTAAAGACTGATCCTGCCTTCAAAACTGCAAACATAACAAACAAGTATAACTTTCAGAAAACTCAGGTCTGTGCACACTTATGGCAGTTCATGACTAAAACTTAGCATTTCGAGAACACGAGCTCCTACCCTCTTTGTGTCAGCGTGTGAGGGTAGTGAGAGACCCTTTTGAAACTCTGATTCTGTAGGCTCTTAGGGACCAGAGAGGATGAGATAAACTGACTGCTGTCATCATTGTCTTGCTCCTGACTCAGAGACTCTCTGTCCATGGAGGAGGAAGACTCTTCATTAGGCATCGCTGGCAACTTTGAGTGCTCATGTAGCGATGGGTTGGATGCTCCATCTGCTAAAGGCTAAAAACACAAAAAAAAGTCTTGTCAGTGGCCAAATGTGGTGTTGTTTCTATATGCACAATTTATGAATACATACAGTATGTCTGCCTCACTTTTTACCAGCAGATTACAACTTACTATTATTTATTATTACATGTTACTGGAAGCCAAACATCCGCAGAAAAGTTTACATTAGGTTATGTTTTCTATTCTTCAATTATTTGCAGTCAACAGCATTAGGGGTGCTTTTTGATTGACATAAACATGTGAAACTAACAGGACTGCATTATACTGATATTTGTGCATAACACAAAATAAAAATAACTATCAAGTCAGTGGCCTTAGTCAAAACACATCTGCATAGATTTGGTTTAAGCCCTTGTTATGCTGTGTACATGTTAGGTGCACATTTCAGTCATATGCAACATATAGAGTGAACTTACTCTGTATTTTTGGTTGATGGGATAAACCACCTTTGCTCTGGATGCAAATGCAGCCACATCACTATTCATGGGTGGCTGCTTCTTCTCCTGGTCAATCAGTAAACAGAGCAAAAGGCTAGTGAGAAGTTAATTAGTAAACATCAACATTTTTGTGACCCTGAATGCAACATCATATCTATATTAACCTTGCACCATTTAATCTGTCTTTATTCTGCATGAAGCCTGCCTATGTTTGACATTAATTTTAGTACAGGCCACCTTATTCCCCAGTAGCTTCCACACATTGCTGGAGGGTTAGAGTTTGCATTACTTTGTCATTAGTGGTGCCACTTGTAGCCTCCTTTCTGCTGTTGCTGACACAGTCGCTTTGGTTGTTGTCTAATTCTCCATCATCTGGCTCCAGCAGCCTCCTCGCATTGTATCCCTAAGAGGATAGAAGGAAAATCCAAAAAAATGGAATATAAAGTGTGAAGATAATCAAGAACGTGACTTGAGAGGACAGGGGAGGGTGTGTTGTCGTGTTATGCGCTTACTTGTCTCGTCAACAGCAAAGGCTTCAGGCAGAAGACGTATAAAAGAGCAGCCGCTAAAATCCCCGACAGTCCTCCACACACCGTGGCCACCGTCAGAAGTCCGGTGTAGACGTGCAGCGACTCGGAGAAACTGACCAAAACATCGGTGGCACATTCCGCCATCACCCCTCGGGCTGTCATTTCTTACCAACTTCAATCCGTAGCCAAACTGTTAGCATCTTCGGATAGCTCCTCTTGTAGTCAGTAACATCTGCAGCTAGCAAAAACCGCATCTCTCAACTTCTCGCTTTACACGGTGAAGTTTTTCCCTCGCATATATTCTTCGAAAGCATTTCGGCGAGTTAAGAAGCTATGATTTGAGACAACTTATTAAAGAAAAAAACCTTTTTTCCCCTAAAGCGACGAACTCTCCGTAAAAGTTAGCCAATGGGTGTACAAAGATTTAAGAGGAGGCATCCAGACTGTAAAGCTAACTAGCCACCACCGGAAACAGATCATATTTTTCAGTATTAAAGCACAACTAATAGTTCGCATTATTAGAAAATTGTAAAGTTCGACCTGTAATGACATTAACGCAACATATACGATTACAACTCGTGTTTTTTAGTATATTTATTTGGTTATAGGCATCCACCACGTTCTAACTACCCAATAGGCGCGCATACGTTCTTTTAATGTGAAAGGCTGACCGGTAAACTAAACTCTGCCTTGACACTCCTTGAGGAGTTGCCCGTTCTTCCAAAGTTTTGGAGATGTTTTCCGAACTTCATCACCATCGGCGATTATGGACCTTCTGTTCGCGTGTAAATCTTTAAAACGGAGCGCATAGTTTCTCCTTGAACGTTAACATACGAGGAACATGCTCGTCTGTGCCAGAGACGCTGCTCCAGTTGATGTTTCTGAAGAAAAGCTGTGGGAATGTTTTGGGTTTTGAGGGGCACCATGCAGAAACAATGCAGCCAGTAAGCTAGCGGCTCTCCTCGGTGGCAGGACACCAAGTTACGAATGCTTCGGGTACACTTTGTCGTGGAGACGGTCACGATATGGTCGCTTATGTTGAATATCCAGGTTTTGTGTTGGTTTCCACCTCCTTCGTGTGTCCGCTGCTGTGCCGGTGTAGCGGAGGACGGCGCTGGACGTCAGCCGTGTCGTAACGGTTCCTCCGCGGACACTTCATGGCTCACGACACCGCCTCCCCTCCCACTGAAACATGGGGTGAGTACATGTGAAAACATATAGTAACTCAGTAGATGAAGGTGTAGTCACAAACATGGGTTATTTGTAGATATGCTATAGCTAGACCTTGTATCTTCCCATCCTGAACTGTGTTCTGAGAATTAAAGTAGGATTATTTATGGGTCCTTGCTTTAGCAAACGATGTTTTGATTTTCTTGGAATTTGCAAGCAATAAATCTGGCTTTGGCTTTGATATACATGCCCTTGCTTATGAACTGTGCAAGTGTTAAATGTTTAATACTGAATGCTCTTTTTCCTTTCTCAGAGCCTTGTCACTGTCCATGAAATGCAAAATGATCCAGGCTGGAAATCTGCAGACCTGACAGCACTCAGGATGGATGGTTTGTGCTTTTTCTCTTCATTCTATACATCAACAGTACAGAGATGAACACAACTAATTTCTGTGCAAGCACCAGCTGAATAACTGTACATACCTTCATGATAGCAAAATACTGCATGGTTGTGCAGTTTGTTCTTGCATACACGTATGGTTAATCAAAAGTTGTACATTGAAAACCTTACAAACCCTTAGTATGTGTAAGTATTCAGTTATTCAGTTACTGTAGCAGTGCCATCCTCAAGCTGTTTAAACACTCTGTATTTACCCGACAGGTACGATGGAAATCGGTGGGCCCGTGTGGCTGTATGGAGGGAGGCCGCTCTCTTCTTCAGCCTCTGCTGGGCCATGGGGACACTCTTTTTACTCTTCATTTACCTACATGTCAAACATCTTGCACCTCAGGAACAGCAGAAGCACTCTCACCAGATACAGCCCGGGTCTCTCGCTGCCTCAGGTGTGTTTCAGCATTAATCATAACTATTCTTAAAGTGAAATGTAATAACAGTTGATTAAAGGGTTGTCACCTCACAAGCAAGTGATTGTACAATGTTTTGAATGACTCTGCAGGTTCAGAGTGTGGCACCTCCGTCTGCATTTGGGGTAAAATTTCATAAGTGTGCACAGGTACATCAACAACATTGACAGAATTTCAACCTATTTTGTTTATGCACATTTTATTCCAGTGAATTTAGCTTAACCACTAAATGAACATGCTGGTGATCATTCTTACCTTTCTTTCTCAGGTGAAGCTCGACACTGATCCCCCTCAGCTGACGTTCTTCCTGCTGATTCACAACATGGGCCCTGTGGGCGGCACCAACCTGTCTCAGGTGGCTATCCGGGACTCCATTTTGGGAATAGTACCTCTAAAAACTGACGGCAGGGTAGTGGAACGAGGTTACCAGACGTTTGCCATCGATTCATTGCAGGGTTTGTCTGAGAAGCACAATGTTTTAAATGATTATTTTTAACCCAAATATGTCAACAGCAGATTTCTCTCTGTATATTCTCCTCAGCATGTTTTCTTTTTTAATTTTACTTTTTTAGCTGGATCCCAGGTTGTTGTCAATTATACTGCTCATGTAAGGAGTCATAAGAATGAAGTTCTTGACCTTCCGGCTTTTCTCACCTTCTCTAATGCCTCACAGGTATTTTATTCTGCTTGTTTTAACTCCAAAATCAATCCTCTTAATTGACATCTTTGTTAAATTGAAGCAGTTATTCTGCAGAACTTCACTATGTTGATGTTTTCTGTATAATTAGAACATTTCCTGCCTTCTTTAACCGAGTATTTTTGTCTTCTCCACAGAATGATGTCAGTATGTTTGGACCATTAACAGCTAATCTGACGCTGAGGGTGAATTCCACTGACAGGGTGAGTTAAAAACAGTTCCTTAACTGGAAGCAGATCTCCACCATTAAGCATTGCATGTTTGTTATTCTAATGTTTTCAAGTTTGTGATGTATTATGCCAATTAAATTGGTTTAATGGGAAATCTGACATATCTACCCATCATTCTAGATTTATCCTAACCATGGTGTCCATTTTGCTGGATTTGTTGCTGGTTTCTTTGTCACTTTGGTGCTGCTGTCGCTGGGGTTTCTGACCATGAACCTTATAGGTCTCAGAACCAGACTGGGCCTTCTTCAGCAAAGGGTATCACAAATTCAAGCATCTAAGTGTTTTGTTCAAGTTAATCCTCATTGCAAAACATTATTGTAAGCATTATATATATTAATAATACACATATGATATATTTTTTGGTATTGTTCATAATTTTAAAATAATGCTTTGTATAATATAATGTAATATAAAATAATTGGTTGTATTAATGTGAGTGTATTTTGTTCATTATTGAAAGTTTCATTTATTTATTTTTTATTGTTTTATGTATATGTGATGTTGTTTATCTTCAGAGAAACCGAGGCGATTCAGACCCTGAGTATGCAGATTGCAACCTGAGTGAGGCAGTTAAAGATGAGGCAACGTTTGAAGATAAGATGGTGGACATCATGGTACTGGAGGATCCCCAGAACATGTACCAGGCCTTGGAAAAGTGAGTAGAGCAGCCCAGTAAGGGGTAATTTCTTTTACTGGAACAATAGTTGTCCAAGTTACTGCTAATCAGAACCAAATGAATGAAAGTAGCAGATGTGCAAATAAATGTAGCTGTATTTTAAAAATTGTCAGTTTTTACTACTGCATTACCTGATTTCTTCAGTCAACAACACTTAACCTAGCATTTTATCACTTCAGCCTTGAAATGTCTACACTGCTGCATGCCACCAATAACCTGGAGGCCACCCGGATTCAGATTTACAAGGACGTGATGTCCTCCCTGCTTGGCGGCCTGCGATCGCGGGGCCAGGCCAGCGCACAGGCCCAGCAGAGGCTGCTCAGTGTGCTCCACGGACAGCTGCTGGGCATGGAGGGCCGACTCAAGGAAGAGCGAGGGGCTCGCATGGCCACCCTGGCTGGTCAGTGTAACTTGGAGACTCGGGAAGAAATGGAAGCAGAGCACCGCAGAGAGGCTGCTGAGAAGGCCCAGGCTGAGCTACTGTGTCAGCATGCAGACCAACAGGTAGCGTTAGTTAAACAATGCTTTGATGTTTAGATTTTTCTATTTTCTTACTCTAAAAAAAAAAACGAACAGAAAATCATTTAAAAATGAAAACAAAAAATAAAAATTACAGAACTGTAAGTCTAATTTTGTAATGTTACCAGGAGCTACTGCAGTGTAGTGTCCTCCTGGAGAAGCTGCACAAGCTGAGCCAGAGTCGGCTTCAGCGCATCCTGTTGGTCCGACATGAAGAAGCTTCAGCGAAGGTCCAGAGGCAGATTATCGAGTGGCGGCGAGTGGAGCTGCACAAGATCTTCTCAGAGGAACTGGAAGAGGCCACCAGGATGGGCGAGTTGGAGAAGAGCACCGCCAAGAGTCTTCAGCATGATTATTTTACTTGTCAGGTGAACAGTCCAACCTGATTTTCAAAGTAGGGACTTACGGTCAGAATGGACCATTTAAATATCATGCTTGTTAAAGTAGAAAAGAAAGTAGACCTACTTTTGTATGTATTAAGTATTTGTGGTATTTTGTTTTAGTAACAAATCAATTTAGGTTGAAACATGCAATGTTTGCAATTGTGGTTAAACATTAACGTTTACATGTTAAAAGCGAAAGTAGTGAATGATTGGTGATGAGGTTATGTGACTTTATTTCACCAGGATCAGCTCGAGGAGGTTCTGGATGTCGTTTTTGCCAATCAGCGCTATGTGCTAGCTGAGCGCAGTGCACAGAGGAAGTTCTTGGTGCACAGCCTCCACAGTCTCAACAGCCTGATTTCTGACACCTTCTCCAGCACCTCCAGCAACCTGGACAGCTGGTTCACTCACATCAGGAGGTCGGTGCTTATTGAATTATGCTCAACACTGTGATTGCAGTTCGGTGGGCCTCCCAGCCAGAGCAAACAGAAACTGTTTATACAGTAAAATAATGTAAAAAATATGTGATGGGAAAATATATTTTTAAAAATGTGTAATTGAGAAACTGAGATATAAATGCATGTACTGTTTTTTTTTGTTGTTGTTGTTGTTTAGTTTTTTTTAAACCCTGTTTATATTTTATAATACAAAATTTTCCAAATCTAAGTTTAAGTTTTAACACTGGCATTTGAATACAAGACAGTATTTTTTATGTTTTTTCTAGCATTTCACAGAAACTCACACCTCGATTTTGTAAATAATTCAAACTCATTATCTACCATTTACCTGAGAATTCTATGCTGGAGACATGTTTTGATGAGGCACCCTGTTGTCTTCCCCACCAGAGGGAGCACTGTGCCTGCAGAGCAGATAGACCAGCTGCAGGAAAAGTCCCAGAAAGAGCTGGTGATGTTGAGGCAGAGGCTGGATGAGGCACTGAACCAGGAGAGGAGAGCCATGCGCTGTGGACTTATTAAGAAGAGGAGGGAGCTAATCTCTGACATGGTGAGGAGATCACGCATGTTCAAGCATGAAGTATTCATTGTGAATGTGTGCAGTGTTTTTCCACAGTGAACATACCGCCATTATTAAATCCTGCTTCCTACCATCCCCAGGTGAGAATTCACAAACAGAGACAGAAGGATTTATCAGGCATGTCCAAAGGTCTGGAGGAAAAAATAGAGATAGCACAGCACCTGCACTGTTGGCAGAACTTACTGACAGCTCACAGCTTGGAGCTAGCAGAGCTTATCAACAACCTGGATGAGGAGGCTGCTGCTGACATCCGCAAGGTGCCACTCTAACACAACGCATCAGATACTTTTACGACCAAATCACTGTGCAAGGCACATGAAAATGCACACACAAATACAAAATCAAGGTTGACCATTTTAGTTTAATCAGTTGATCCTCCGTCTGTTCTTTAGGTGACCATGCGTGTGATTCAAGGAGCCATTGCGGACGTCAAAGCCATCCAGCCTTCTGCAACTCAGGCTATATTAACAGTCTTGCCTCCAGGAGAGCAACACTCCCTGCTGCAGATGGAACCAGACCCAGGAGCAGGAGGGCAGGCGTCGGGACAAGGAGCTAGCGCTCTCCTGCAGGGTCAGGAACGGCTTCACCAGGAAGGCAAGGCGGCCTTACGCACACTCAGCTGCACCAGAGAGGCTCTGCAGGAAGCCATGGAGAAAGAGCTGCGGGAGCAGAAAGAGCTCAGGGCGTACTGCAGGGATTTCTTCAGGTTAGTGGTATAATAACACCAGTCATCTCATTTCAGTGGATTCAAACATAGGAAAGTGTTCGTGTTCCCATCAGCAATCAATTTTCTGGAAGTGGAAGATTGTTGAATGGGAGGGTTTTTTCCCCCCAATGTTGTCAAAGTGCTTGCTCAGAGGGAAACATTGGATATGTTGCATTTCTTTTTTTGATATAATAGTGTAAGTTCTTGACCTTACTATGCGACGTGTCCTGAGATGGCTTCTGTTGTGAATTAACTCTATATAAATACAGCGAAATTAAATTAATTAGAATATGAAGGAAGAAAAGGGGGATTTTTCTAAATGAGCACTTTCTGGGTGATGTCAGACTGAATTTTACTGGTTCCACAGGTTTAAACCATTACATGGTGGGAATTCTTCCAGCATTTGCAAAGGTAGCAGATACCAGACTGTTCCCCCAATAAACCTTCTGTGGACTAAAAACTAACTCCAATAAACAATAATTACAGATTAATGTTATTCAGCTTTTTTAGGGCAAAAGTTGAAAGCATTCCCAACACAGCCATGTAAAGTCTCTTGGTGGAATCCAGATGTGTTTATCCGTCATGCTTCTTTTTCTCCTCTCTGTTGCAGGCGTTTGTGTTTGTTCCAGCTGAATCTGTCTGAAGATGACAGGCTAAGGATGAAACTGGAGTTTCAGAAGTGTCTGTCTGTGATAGACCGCTGTCTGATGCTGCCCCACGCTGTCTCCAGAAGTAAACTCCACACTGCCCTGACAGCTTGGAGAAAGGACAGCGAGAAACATATGGTGAACATTTAATCAGAATTCACTTTATATGCTCCTAAAGAGTCCGTGTGTAAAATTGCATCCTCTCGGAGTCTAGTAAGTGTATAAAAAAAGAAAGACACAGTGTGAACTGTTAATTTTTATGAAAAAAAGGATGTTGTCTTTACAAAATTTACACCATTTGTTAGCCAGAAACTGTAAAAACAGAGAGTACCCCCGGGTTTTCAACATTTCAACAGTTTTTGAACCAATCGTGTGCAAATTTCTGTTTTCATGTGGAAAAATTAACCAAAAACTAAATCGAAGCTTGAAATTGTGATATTTCGTCAAAATCACATTAATCTTCATGTTTCATATAAAAATACACCAAAAACAATTGTGTAACCTGTAAGCAGTTTCTGTTTAAAAAAATAAATAAATATATTCTGCGCTTAACAGAGATGCTGTTACTGACCAAGCTGTGACCAACAGTCACGTGACAAACACAGAGACTTTTCGGCTGAACTTCAGACTGTGTTTCCTACGAGCATCTAGGAGAAAAGTATAGAAGTCATTTTAAAATATAAGGAGTAAAATATCTGTAGTATATAAAATCATCATTAACACTATTGAATAATGTTTGTGTTGATTTCACATTTTTTAAATTTTTGCAAAATGAGCAATCAAACACATACTTTCTTTCTTTTTTTTTTAAAATGATGTGTGACATTATAACTTTGTGTTTCTACACACACAGCATTTTTGAGCTCTCTCTGCTCCTAGCCATTGTTGTGCTGTTTCCATATTGGTGCAGGACTTTATATTGCAGTGACAAATGAGCTCATAACAGGTACAAATGTGATAGGAACAGAAAATTCCCATAAACTGCTCAGAGGGTTAGTGCCTTAGTCATTAATTTTACAGTTCAATCAATAAGGCTTAATTGATTTCAGCTGAATTTTGAAGGACATTAGCTAAATCAAAATAGAAAAATAATTTAGCTTTCTTGGACTGCAATTGTTGAATTGCACATAATGTTAAGATTTAAATGTTTTTGGGAAACACTGACCAAACCACACATCCTTTCATGAGGGTTCTTAAAATGATTATGGGAAAATGTACACCTCCCATTTTCGAAATCCCCAGACATTGTGCTTTTTTTCTCATTATTAATTAGGGTTTATTGGAATCGTTTGAAAAGATTTATTTTTTTCTTTTTCTTTTCTTGAATTTCCTTGAGAGAAAAAAACAAACTACCAAACCCACTTTCTTTGGCTGTTTGTGGTAACTTTGATGATATAAATATCTTTTTGGTTGAAATCCCCTCTTGATACGATTCTGGAAGAAACCTATGAGCATTTAACTACAGCAGGAGATAATGGTGCTTTTAATATTTTCTCAAATGAATAAGAAATGGAGAATGGTGACCACTGGTGCAAACCACGCTGCTATCAACCTCAATTGTGTGGTTGCTGGATGAGAGTGTATTGTTATTCAGAAATAATGAAGGGCTCCACAGAGTGGTTTCATTCCTAATCACATCGTAACAGTGTGCTTGGAGTCCTTTCCCAACCACCTTGTGGATATTGTGGTGTTTTTGCAGACGCATATGCAATCCAAGGGGAAAACCAGCGAGGCCAGACTGACAACAGACACATCTGACCTGCGGCTTTTCCAGAAAAGACTCGAGGATAGGATCCAACTGTTTGAGAAGGAGAAAGAGATGGAGAGTGGTATGATGAACAAGGTAAAGCTGTTTTTTTATGATTATTGATTGCTTTCCAGACCATGCTTTAGTCTCACAGTGCAGTCGAAACCATAATCCCTGGATCTGTGATCAAGTTTAATGTCAAGATTATGGATGAGATGGTTTTGAGTTCATACAAGAGGCCTGAAAATCATTTGTTCTGATTTTTGGCAGGTGTTGGAGGAAATGCAAAGAGAGAGAGAAAATGATCTGCGCTCTCAGGCAGACGGCCTGGCCATGCAGATGGCCACCATCCACTACCAGAAGGCTGAGAGGCGGACCAAAGTTTTAGAGACCTCCAGAGCCATGGTGACCCTGCACGGTCTGCTCATCCAACAGCTCAGAGAGAGAAAAAATCTGGAGAGACAAGACATGGCTCAGAGCATACAGAGCCACTGCCTGGTTGGTAGTTGACTCATGGTTCACCCCCGTGTTGTAGCATTGCATGGTTTGACAGCTGCTCAGATATTAACATTTTGAGAAAGCTTGAGTTTAAGCTTTATTTTCCAACGTGACCTCTGAGACGTCTCCTTTTTGAATAAATGTGCTAAAATTTATTGTAGACTTTTATTTGAAGGTTTGACTCTTACCACAGGGCCTAGAGGAAGCAGAGCAACAGCTTCAGAAGGAGAAGACGGAGTTGGACGGCCTGCAGATGTCTCAGCCCACAGTAGAGTCAAGTAAAAGACACCAAGAGGACTCTGACGACGCAGAGGAGGACAGTGAGGAAGAAAATGTGTTTCGGCTGCAACTGGATTGCAGGATGACGTTCATCCTCCAGGAGGCGCTCTGCAAGTGTGAGCAGGTCATCACACTGATGGCTGAGAGGTGAGCTGTCACTTTATCTCAGGAGTAATGAGGATTTTGGGGGTTGACACAGGCTGTTACATTTTACAATGTGGAAACTCTTTGGTGTTTTTTTTTTTGTTTTTTTTTTTTAGGTTCCAAGCAATGACTGCCAACAATCAAGCTGTAGAGGATTTAAAAGAACAAATGGAGCTCAAGAGACTTTATGCAAACTGTGATCAGGTCTGACTTTATGCAGAAGTTAACATCCAGTTCCAGTTCATATCTGTGATACAAGCTATAGAAACTTGCTTCTGTGTGTTTTCCAGGTAACATAGAGGTAATCTGTGCTCAAGGTTGCTCTGCGCTGCTCTCTGTTTCAGGATCTGGAGTTTGCATCTCGGCTGGTGAAGCAGAGCCAGGTGTCTGCTGAGGTTCTGCTGGAGGCCCTGCGTCTCCTCTTACCAACCCTACCTGAGAGTGAACTCCTTTCGATCACTGACGCCCTCTGCCCCAAACAGCACCCTGCGGCAGCATCTGCAGAGCAGGAACACTCAGGGTAAGAACCTGGTCCAGGATTTATGTTTTGGCAAATACTCTTGTGAAAGTCTAAATTTTTAGCTTTATGTGTCATACGTGGTGCAATCAAAAATGTCTGGAGCTGTTGGTGGTGGGCTCGCAGAGGGTGCGTCACGGTCACGCACATGCAACATGTGCAAGCACTAACTTTCACGAGTCGGTAGCCCACGTGACATGGTGCTATTAACAGTGGGACCTGTGTTACACGTGTTTTTGTGACCACTGGTATGTGCTCACTTACGATTTCTCTGTGAACTGTTAACTGGAGCAGAGAAGAAAACATGCTGGCTTGGACGGTCAAACCTTCATGTTGAGGATCATAACTGGTGGTGAGAGGTGGGTCTGTGGCTACCTCCAAGAGAACAAATAGCAGTTTTTATAGTGGAGAAGGCCACCGTTTCCAACATGGCTGATCAGATCAGGAGCACACCAGAAAGTGTTAGCTAGTTGCTTTCTTCAATATTCACATTGTTGAGCCTCTGGAATTAGTCCCCCAGAGTTGGACTGTTCAGGTTGAGTTCTTCTGTAACATCCTATGACTTCATCTTCTTCCCTAAAATGGAATTTAAGTTGAAGGGTCACTGTTTTGACACAGTTTAGGAGATTCAGCGTCCATTGCTGATGGTGTCTGACATGTCAACATAACAGAACTTCGAGGGTTTGTTACAAGAGTTACACAAGACCTACTTTGAAGAGGATGGTGGCCAAATTTACATCATGTACAATTTTTGGATTTTTATAGGCGGAGTGTCAGAATGTTTTGTGTTGGGTCACATTAGGTGAATATGTTTGACTTACAGGTGAATGTCATCCCAGTGTAATGACTAACTATATCTCACGTTTGTATTTTTCTGTCAGTATACAAGCATGTCAAAGCTATTTTCATGGAGAGATGAAGGAGAACATCTGCACAGATTTACCCTCACTTGGGCCAATTAAACTGTTTTAAACAGCCTTAGATTTGACAAACTGTAGCATGGGCTGCTGACAGAAGACTTGGCTTTCTCTAATCTACATGTCAAGTTCCAGCTCTAACAGTCCAATACTGTGCACCCCATTACCTGTGGTCATGGTGGCAGGACTTTGTTTCATATATTAAAAAGTCCTGGTTATTGGTGTAATTTCACTCAATGTCGGGAAACTTGTCCATTAAGTCGATCTGACCACATCTTTATGACTACCACACAACATGGCACCGCTCTGTTACTGAGAACAGTGCAGATGGTCTATTCCTTGTTTAAGTTCATTTCATTGAATTACTTCTTCAGTTTCAACACATGCTTTTAGAATAAACCAGTGTTCTATGTAGTTTGTGTTATTGTTATTTGTCCGTTGTTTTAGGAACCAAAAGAACCGAACAACTCGAATATAGTAAAAAACTCTTTTGGCCCAAGTACACAGCCCGAATCTCAGCAGTTCAAGTTCTGTGGTTTAGGAGAGTAGTTTTCTGAGTGAAGTCACTAAATAAAATAAAAGCAGCATTTCCACTGCAGCTGGTTGAAACCGCCTTTTCAAAGCATTGTCTTTAGTTTGAATAACAAATGCTGTTTGAATGCGACTCCACAAGGGTCCTTTTCCCAAAGCCAAGATGGGGAGATAGATTATTTTACTCATCATGTAATTTCCCTCTTTTCCTGATACGCTGGAACGCTCACGTCTGGCCCCTGCTGAGTTTGGATTACTTTACTGATGAATAATGTCTCATGCATGCGGTCGCTTTGGACCTGAGCTGTCTGGCTAAAGGACAAGGGAATGAAAGTTCTCAGTTTGGAACAATATGCGAGACTTCGCTCTTCTTTTTCAGCTCTTTTATTTCTGCTTTTTTGTTTGCAGAATGAGGTTGACCTATTTTAAACAGCAGTTTTAAACCGTATTCAGGAGAATTTCAGATAAATAAGTAGGGCATTTAATATTTAGCTTGTGAAAAGGAAGTCTACACTGTGTGGGGTCTCACTAGTCTATTCTATTAGACTGAACTGTTTTGAGTGTGAGATCCTTGATCATAGCACTTCATTTAAAGTCATTCAGAAATGCAATGAAATATCAGCGTTAGCGGTTGTAATATGTAAACAACTGTGCTGAAGGACGAAACAGATGAGGCTGAAGCAGCAAGAAAATTGGTCTTTTACCTGCCCTGCAAAGGCAGCAAGGTAATTATGTTGACTTAGCGTCTGATTTTAACTAAATGCATTAAAACCAGGCAGACAAAAGGGCATGATATTCCGTAGTATTTGTACAAAACATGAGACCCGTAGTTAACAGAGTAACCCCAATGTGTTGTCCTTCTCATACAGAGGAGTCACTGCACTCCAATTTCAAGGTCTGACAGACTTTTCTGTATTCAAACATCACCCTTGTCTTATTTGATTCTTTTGCTAATACACACATGAATGTGTAGTTAGTTTGAGTTATCTCAAAATTACTCATGTTCAAAATTTTACTTGTACTGTTTCCTTCTATCCAGCACTGATGTTTTCTTTTTGTTGTCCTCTGTGTCTACCGCACATTTATTCTGGTATTTTGCCTCCCAGTTTCATCATTCACTGTTAAAAATCTGTCCAAAATCAAACACCACTACTCTTAAACGTGACACCTATTACCAAGACCTGTTGCAGTTTTTAAGGTTTGCTTTTCGTTGATATAGACATTGCTATTATTTGACAGATATTGTGCTTGAAAAAGTGTCCAGACTTTCACTGTAAAAGCAACGTTGTCTGTTAATGCAGCAGGTTGTCTGAAAATACTAATTGAGTTTATCTGAAATACAAATTCTCCTAAAGAAAAATAACTTTGTGAGATTTGCTGTTGGAATTATCCGGATTTATTAATTACTCTGAGCCGCCTAACATGCTGTACCCTTCTAAGAACGAGATCAAATATTTAATCACCTTTACTCTAATGAAAAAAGATCACGAAACTCTCCCTCTAAACTCCACCAGTTATTACAGCGTGTCAATAGCTCGGCATGCTGAACATTTTTTTAATCAAAGCCAATCATTGTCTGCAGAGATCGCGTTGCCGTTAACGGTTTCATAACATGTCGGTGACTTTCTGACCAGGTGTGCCGGGGAGTCGAATAGAGTTCTTCCTGTCAAGCTGAGGGAAGATGTGGTGCAGAAAAATATGCTAAATATGCCAAGCTGCACTGTGGACAGAGAGAGGTGAGTTCAACATGTTTCTGTGTTTTTCTACCAGCTGCTGCTTGAAGATTTGATGTTGCTCTTATACCAAGGCTAATTTGTAGTTCAGTGGTCAACAACATCACTGACAAATCCCTGATTGAAGTGAAATATGCCTTTCATCAGAGGAGTTTCATGGCTTGGCTGCGGCGACCGCACGCATGAGGTAAGCACTTTAATGCTCCAATCCCACTAACAACAGCTCCTTTGTCCTCCAAACCTCGCAGACTCCAGGAAAAGAGGCAAAGTCTGATGGAAAAACTGCTCCCCAGATCCCATCTTCTGCTTCCAAGAGATGCTGCACCACTGCTGGTTGAGGAGAAAGGAAAGCGGGACGGTTTCACTAAAGCACAGCAGCGTGTTTGTAAGTCCGCCGCGCCTGTTAAGCTGCAGCACAGTGACGCTGCAAAAGACAGAGCGGTGGACACAGTGAAGGAAGCGTTACATGACACAGCAGAGCAAAACGTGACTTCAGTCTCTGCCCTGGGCAGCGCTGCTACCGGAGAGAGGCTGTTTGTGTTTCGGGATCCACCTGAATCGTGTAACAGTGCAGACGTTCCTAAAAGAAAAAGGAAGAGGAATTTCCTCAATCTCAAGAAAGGTTCAGTGGCTCCAACGGACCTCCCTTGAGATTTACAAACATTGTCTTTCTATTTTTATTTTTTATTTTTACGATGATGATGATATTTTATGATGATATATGATAATACTAAAATACACAATAAACCCGTAGTTTTGCTGTGCAGCAAAGGTAGCAACATTTCTTTACTTTTCAAAGTTTATGGAGCATCTGACTTTGTTATCAAGTAAAGGCAGCTGACTTCAACTGTTACCAGTTTTGTCTTCTTCTTCTTCTCTGCTTCAGATTGTTATTAAGCAGCTCATAAATAAGTGGTGGAGTGACGGAGTTGTCATGCTTCTGTCTTGAACTGGCTTCTCCCCAGTGCTGAGTTCAGATCTTCTCACAAGACAACACTTCATCAGTCTTTTTTCAGGGAGAGCAGCAGGCCAAAAGCACCTTTAGTCAAGTAGAATAAATAGCTGAATAACACTTGAACTGCAGATGCTAGTGCAGATACCTTCCTACGCTTTAAATACACAAGAATATACAGTATCTGACAGAAACCTATGTGGGGAACCTGTGCAATATAACTTAAATGTCAAATGAGTCAAATTCTATCATCTCTCAAAGATTGCATTACTTCAAAGGTGAACAGTAGGATGCTTGATGATGTCAAAGTAAAAACTATCAGCTTAGAGTTATGACATGTCAATTACTGTCTTTCATTACTGAGATTCAAATCTTTTTAACACTTCATGCATCCAGATTTATTTTTGATAACGGACTTAATCCTCCTCTACATGGAGGATACAGAATTTCTTGGAAAGATGTTCTGCTGTTCTTCAGAATCAGTTTCTTTCAGCTGCCCTTTGCTGGAGCCGCTGTGTTGCTCTTTAAAATGCCTCACAGGTGTTGAATTCAAGTCAGCCGACACACTTGGCCAGGTCGTAGTTTTCACCTTTTTCTTCTGTAGAAACTCTTGTGTGATTGTTGGCAGTGTGCTTTGGATCATACCGGAATATACTTCTGCTGCCAAGCTTCTGCAGACTGGGAGTCATCCTTTAGGCATTCATGGTGTCACCTACAAATTCATCTCTCCAAAACCTTTTGCCCTCGAGCAGCCTCATATCATCTCACATTCACTGTGGAAGTCTTGAGCGGGTTCAAGCCAAACATGCTGGACTCCATCTGAACTGAACATTTTTTTCTTGGTCTCATCGAAGAATGTGCTCCCGATATTCATCCGAATTCTCTTTATGCATTTTTAGCAAAGTTTCATCTTGTAGTTCTGTGTTGAACAACAACCACAGGTTTATTTTCTGGGTTGCCATCTAAAGAGGTTCACATTGTCTGAGGTGACACAGACTCAAGCACCACCTGTTTTCACATCTATATTGAGCAAGTAGCACAATGTGTGTGGTATAGTTTTAGCAGGACGACCTGATCTTTCTGTGTCATTTTCCATCTTTGTGAAATCTCTTAGTTGGACTTTTTTTTTTCTTCTGAAGACAAGCTCAGCACAGAAAACTGTTCTCATGATCACAGGTCATTTTATAACAACACTTGTGCAATTAGACAAATTGGAAATCAGTTTTTTGCCTCAGGGGGTCACATGTTTTGTCATTTAAGTCTGTGATCACATGTGTATTGCACTGAGTTTGAACTTTGAGGGCTGTTTTTTGCAATATGGTCTTTCTAAGGTATTTGTTTTGATTGTACACAAGAAGAACTGGTCAACTTAGAGGGAATGCAGCGACTGAGAGGTGATGCAGTTTGAAATCATTCGACCATTTCAATGATTTGGCTCAATGCTGTCTGTTTTCTGTGTAACACTCTCAGTTAATGTGGCTACAGTTTCAACACCTTGGATTTCCCCTCTTTGACTGCAGATCAAACTCCCCCCTGACATCTGAGGTCTCGTTCTGGCAAAGAGCAGCCTTTAACTCCCATCTGTGATTTATAGCTGACATTAATATCCCGCTTTTCTGTATTGACAAGCCACAAAATTAGGCGAGAAAACGGTGCAAAACAGCTGTCAGCGGGGTAACATCAGTCATCGCTGCTATTTTGGAATTTGCCTGAACACAACACTGATGCGCTCCAAAAACAACCTCTTGCAGACCCCAACTGGGTTTTTTTTTTTTTTCTGAGCCGCGCTGCGCCTCCACGTCATCCTCCTCTTTTTTTCTACATCCTTAAAAAAAAGCAGCCAGTCCTCCTCCTCTAAACTCGGAGAAAAGCCTTTGTACGAGCAGCTGGACGCAGAGCTGAGCGCTGAGATCCGACATGAGGCTGGGAACTCTGCTTTGCTTGTTGGGTTTCGTGTTTGTGTCGGACTGCGCGCCTCCGACCTGCTACTCCAGAGCGCTGAGCCTGAGCAAGGAGACCATGACGCTCCTGGAGAGAATACACACCTACCATCGCACTGTGAGTCATCCTGCTTTTTTACTGCACTGCCATGTGTTTGCTTCTTTCAACAAAAAAAAAGTGAACTCATAATGCATTCTAAGATCATGTTTTCTGGCTTGCAGAAAACGTGTGCTGAGGTTCTACCCACGATCTTCCTTGATGTGCATGTAAGTCTGGAACAAGTGGGTCATGCATGTGATGATGGCCTACTTTGTTTTTCTTCTATATAACTGTAATTACAGAATTAGTTAAAATGTTTGATTAGATTCAAAATCAAGTCATCACACTGAGATGAGAGATGTTTCTTTTGCACATGGAGCTGTTTCGCTGCAGATTAAATCAAACTAAAGTGACCTGATGTTTGAATTCTCATCATACATGCACAGAAAAAAGTACAATCACGAGTTGCTCTTTTGCTGGACCCACAGGTTAAGCAGAAATCTCTGACAGCCAGATGAAAACAACTCACTAGAAGATGAGTTCAAGAGTTTTTTAAAAAAAGAGACTTCTTCTTTCTAGAACTCCTGCATCACCACCAAGCTGCGGGACTTTCTGTACGTGGTGCTGAACCATCCCAACCAGTACTGCAGAGAGCGACCCAGAATGGTGCTGCTGAAACGTAAAATCCAGAACCTCTACACCATCATCACCAAACTGTGTTATCGGGTGAGTGTTTCATTTTTTTTTTTTCATCCCCTTCCTTCCTCAACATTCATGTTTTCAAGCTCGGAGCGTCTTGACCGCATGTCTTTGTGTTGTGTTGGCAGGACTTGGTGTTTTTCACAGATGACTGCGACGCCATTGACACTGGTCACAGCAGCCCTCACTATGCAGAGGACAGGCTTCAGCTGCTGCAAGAGGAGAGATGAGCAGGCAACAGATGTACACTGGGCTGCATTCATTTAAACAAAAAAAACAAAACCCTGTAGTATGTAGAATGGTAAAGCATGCACAATAAACACCACAGCCTGCAGCACATGCACACGACAAGGCTTTCACCAGCGCTGTTCCAGGTCGTACCCCCTCAGTTGGCCGTACAGACTCATGTTAGTGGACATGTGTGGTTACATTCCAGCAAAGAGCGCAGAACTTTCCACAGGAAATTTGCTGAATGCCGACCATGCCGACGAAAACCTTGAAATAATAAACCAATAAGAGATGCTTGTGAGTCGGGCTTAACCGCTGCTTACTTACCAGCGCTGATCAAAAGCTTCATGTGTCATTAAGAGAAATATGTTGTGTTGCCTTAACCTTTAGTCCCGCTAACATGCCTTAGAGGAGCACTATGTGGCATTTTGTAAACATCTGAGGAGCTGAACATGGTGGCTAAAAAAAAAAAAAACAAGTTATGTAAGAAATAGATGTGTTCAGATTTGCTGTCCCTCATGCACAGCATGTTCCTTGTGAATTTCATGTGTAGACAGTTTTAGACCAGAAGAGTTATGACAGTGCTGCTGCTTCCACTGAATGAAATTAGTGTTTAAGGGCCTTTAGCAGAAAGAATATGAAAGAATAGATTCATCACTGTCACGGACACAGTAGAAGCTTGTTCTCTTTCATTTATACGTATGACAAAGATACAGTCTGTCTTTCATGTAATAAACCTCATGTTTATGGACCAGTTTTCATGCTGCTGTTGCTTCATTCTCTCCAGATCATTTTTACTGTTACATTTTTCTTTTTTTTTTTAAAGTTGTCCCTTTTACACTTTTTACTCAAGTTCGATTGTTTTCACTTCATCTAACACACTTTTTGCTCAGCATAGGGCAGCTACATGTGGATTTATCTTGTTTAGAACCGACTACATTTTCAGTGATCACTGTTCTAAAATGCACTTTATGTGAAGTAATATTTGTGTGTTTGTTGGAGTACAAAGTCTTCTTCAAGCTGGCGGTCGTGTCTCAGAATGTAATTAACTCTAAGTTAAGAAATGAGGCTTTTACACAAACCACAGTCCCCATCCTGGTGGAAAATTACATTTATTTGTTCAGTTTTTCTCAGTTTTCCATCAACATTTCCCCTCCTATTGAGAGCTGTATGGATAAATAGCGGTGCAGTTGATGATACCATTGTTCTGATCTGGAAGCAAGTCTGCCTCCCTAATGTAAGTCCCGGTCTTTGCTGCCCTCTGTTGTCTGCACTGACTGTGTACACAAAGTTCACTTCTCCTTTTCTTGTATACAGACACACTGAAATCTTTCTATGATTCAGAGAATTTAGATCTGAACTATGAAAGAAATCTGCTCCTTTTTCCATGTGTTTTGCAAATGAGTGTGTTTCCTCATCACAGGCTGAGATGTTTTTTTTTAACTCAGCCACTAAGATGACTGCCTGGTCTTTATTTAATCCATTTAAAATAAATCTGTTTGATAGTATAATACACTGGACTAACATTAAACCAAGCTGAGCTCAAAGGCCTCTGAACACTTGTCTCACTGGCAGTGGAAGTCTGTGGTTTCCAGTCAGTATAATGCAAATAGCTGTATAAAAAAAATCTATTATAAACACTTAAAAGTTACCTGTGATAAATAATCTGTCCCAGTAAACAGTTTTACATTTTGACAAATGAGCTTTCAGTTCTTGTCGTGTGAGCACTCCTGGCAGCAGGAACGTGTTTGACAACTTTCCTCGTTGATTCATAGAAAGAGCGACTCGGCTGCCAAACAGCAACGTAATTAATGGAAGAAACAATCCAAATGTCAGAGTGTTTGTGTTACGATATGTAATAATTTATCCTCTGAATGTGGCTGTCTGATAACATGTATGATTGATATGATTGTATATGCAAACAAGCGTTTCCTCACCCTCTTGCGTGTTTGCATATTTGCTCTCGAAGGAGCCTCGGCCTCTGCTGCTGCTGCTGCTTCGCTGTTTCTTTACACTGCTGCCTGAACCTGCTGCTGCCCATGTTGTTGACATATAACTCCATCAGGCAAATGTGATGCTTTACATTTGTCTTGAGTTTGGATAGTGATTCACTGGCATCTTGCGTGCCGTGTCTGTTTCTGGTGTTCAGTCTGCAGCCTGCCACGTTACACAATGATGTCATCTTGTTCAGGTTCACAGGTTTTGTGCAGGATGCAGGAAAACCGTAAAACTGGAGTTCAGACGAGTTCAGTCTGTCTGAGCTTGTTGTTGAGCTGAACCTTGAGTAAAATACACACAAGAAACCTCAATCCTGATGTTCTAAAAAGGTTATACAGAATGTGATAGTAGTTTATTTAGTTAAGAGATAATCTGAAACTTTCAGGTTTGTGCAATTTAACTGCAGCACTTCACAATTTGTGCTTTTACACTTTGACAGCACTTCTGTGGTAAAAGCACAATACAAAGGTTATAGTTTTTGAACAGAAATGTTTATAACTACAGAAATCTGGTAAGTCTGTTGCATTTGTCCTAAATGTCAGTTTTGTCTTGTGGTAGTAAAACACATTTTAAAAAGCTTTCTGAATGTTCTCCATGCTGCTGAATTAATTGTACATTGTACTGTTGTGTGAGCAAATCACAAAGTTTAATGAACCTAATATTTCAGCTGACACAAGTTATTCCTGAAAAATGAACCTGGCTGCCTTCAAAAGTGAAGTTCATTCAGTAAGATGCTTAGTGGAGCCAGATTGTGTTGTTATGTTTGCACAACCAAACACGATTGATTTGTAAATCAACAGGATGATTAGTTTAACCCTTTTTTTCCCCATCTTAATGACATTTTCACGACATCAGTACAAGTTTGTTGGGTTTTTTCTAGACATTTTAAGTTTTTTCAGCTTGAATCTTGAAATGTCTTGTAGCAGTAAAAAAAAAAAAAAGGGGTAAAATTTAAAGTTGATAGGATCCTCTTATCCTAGTTATTCTAAGTTTGAGGAACTCGGATAAATCTGTGAACAACTGAAACTTCTAATCATGAGAAATACTGCTATTAATTGATCATTTTTTTTGTTCTAAATTGTTTCTTTCATTTCTTATACAGGGAGCTAAGATTCACAGGAGTTAAATTCCTTGTTGGCGTGTACAAACTTGGCCAATAAAGTTGATTCTGATGTGGAACTACAAATTTTAAAGTGACAGGTCACTAAATATTACTTTGAACATCTCTGTTCATTTTTGCAGCATCGTGCAGACGCTGGGTTGTTGTTGAATCAGGAAAATCAGGGACTTGTGGATGAAGATGCAGAGTCGCCTTGCAGTGGTCATGTATTTATTACTGGGAAAACTGCAGGTTCAAGGTTTATCCTCAGAGGGAGATGGACAGCGTCTGTGAAGATTCTCAGTCATACAGGTCATGGTTATTCTGGTAGATGAATCGTAGCAACTGGACTTGCTTGAGTTCCTTGAAGACGTTTCACCTCTCATCCAAGAGGCTTCATCAGTTCTGACTGACTGAACTGGATGGACAGAGTTTTCATCCGTCACCAGGTGGCGCTGGCTGCCCTGGTTCCTCACTGCTGCATCAGAGGGATTTTCTGTCTTTTTATCCTGGACTGTGTATGAAGACAGTGACTGGGTGCTTTTAAAGTTCCTCCCAATCTCTCCGTTTGTATTTAACTGAAAGCATTTGTTAGCATCTATTTAAATTGTGTAACTTATTGATTTATTTCATGCATGGAATGGATGCTGCTTATCTCTATCACCTTACACCACTACAGCATTTTTGCACCCTCGGGGCTTCTGGGGCTTTAACTGCAAAAGGCCCTGATTTTTTCATTTTCAGCGCAATGTGGCAGTAAAGGAGATGAAAATAAATAGTCAACAATCAAAACCCAACTCTTAAGTTTGAGGTCAATTTGACCCCATTCAGCGTTCAACATCTCTAAATAAGTCACTGACATATTTTTTTTCAGTTTTACTTAAAGGGTTATTTACACATAAACGTGGGTAATAAGTTTAATTATCATATTTTCTGGAGGTTTAAATTGCTGGAGTCAAATTGAACCCAAGGATAAACGATAAATTTGAAGGTAACAGGAGGGTTAGGCAAAGACACATGGATTGACACAGAGCTTTAAACTTTTGAAAATGTGAAATTTTCTGCAAAACTTAAGCTTTACCGCCACTAAATGTTCAGCTTTATAAGTCCTATGAAGAAGATTTTTTTTAAAACTAGTCTTTAAGTATTTTACAGGCTGCAGTTTCACTTCAGTTGCAATCACTGTTTGTTTTGCTTTGACTCCAACAATCTCCTCCTTGCACTTGTGAACCATCAGGTCTGAAGGCCTCACAGCTAATTAACTCACCCTGCAAAGATGAAAATGTTAGTCAGCAGCATGTGGCCTGTTCAGAAATCAGCCCCATAAAGGGTAATTGCTGTTCTTATTAATCATTATTACAGGGCCGCAGGATCCACGTTCTTTCAAGGCAAGACGAGAACAGAACATTGCAAACCGCAGGCGGTCAGATAATTTCACTATTTTTATGTTCTGTGACGCTGCACCAAAAATGCTGCAACAATAAAAACAAAAAAACAAAACGCACACAACATAGCCGGAGGGTGACAGTAATCATTCTCTGCTTTGTTGAAATAAATTTCCTTGTAAAGAACAGATCACAAACCTATTTTACATGAAAGGACGCGGTGATGCAGTTTGTGATTCCGTTTTGTTTTATGAGGGTTTTCAGGCAATTTTCCATCACATTTAAGCGCTTTTATTGCGTCTTAAAAGAAATGTTGCCTCATTAGTGCGCATAAGAAAATGTTTCCCCCCCTTGATTTCCAATAGGTGACTGGCACACTGTGTGCACCGGTTGTTATAATTACGCTGCTCAGTGAATTTGGCTGCGTTAGATTTAAAAAAAAAAAAAAAAAATCTCACATATTAGAAGCCATGTTTCCTCCTCCGACAGTGAACGCACCTTATAAATGCGCAGTTGTTCCACGGATGTTGGAGTCGTTAAGAGACTCTGGAGGGTCAACATTAGGACTCGTGATGCGCTTCTTGTGATCATGTATTCATCAAATTAGTGGTGACTTCATAGTTAACAAGTCAAACCCAGTGCCAGGTGGCCAGAGTCCGGTCAGGAGCGCAGGTCATCCAAACCTCCACAGGCCAAGACGCTGCTGCCCTCTAGTGGGATGTGGAAGTAATGAAATAAAGACTTTAATCACCTTTATTTCTTATTAATGATACACTTTCCATCATTGCTTCTGTCCAACCACTAGCTCACAGACACACTGACAATCACTGGTAAACATTTAAGGAACCTGATGTGCAACATTTCATTTTATGATTTTCATCCCCAGCATGAGTCCTTCAGCTCAACTACTACAGTCAATCATCTGTTTATATCCTTCCTTTAATATTGACTTTCACTGTATGATTGTCTCCAAACTGGAGAGCCTGGTAAGCTTATTGAATTTCTTTTCTTTTCCCCCCAAACCAGGCTGTAATATTTCTATAAATTATGAGGACATCTGGTTTTCTGCAGGAGACTTGCTTTTATTGGTCTTTTTTGGTGCAGACATTCGCGAGAAATTGGTGATGATGGCTATGTGTGATTTATGACATTCATGCTGCATTATTAATAGTTTCTCCATCATGTGACTCCCACTGAGGCCTGGAGCAAGAGAGCAGTGCTGGAATCACCGTGGCCTTGAATTAGGATGTTATTTATATTATAAACCAAAAAAAAAAAGAATATTGACTATCTACCCATCCATGGACACCTTATTGTATTTATTTATCCAGGACTCATAGGAAACATAAATAATCTGTTAGTTTGTCTTTTATTTATTTCATCTTTATTTAAGGTGTGAAATAATAAAAGTTCAACTACATTAATGTTTTAAAAATAACAAGCTGTGATAAAAATCAATTCAGTGTATCTTCAGTGTATCAAAGAGTTAAAACTCTCATTTTCAACAAAATACGAATTTTAAAAAATCTATTTATGAATTCACTGAACTACAAGTTGAAAAGGCCACAAAGCAGATATGATTGGCTGTAATGCTGACATTCATTTGGTGCATGGATAAACATTTTACAGCGGTTTTATTAAGGTGGTTTAAACTTTTTTTTTTATTGAAAAGACGGATCCAGTGTTCTGTCACTCCTCCTCTGAACAGAAGGTGGTGGTGTGGGATCTGACTGAAAGTTGGGCTTCTATGTCTTTTTTTTTTTTTAAGGGGAAAAATAAGTGTTTTCTTCGTGTTTTAAATGATTTTCAGTGGAGGCATTTAGTGTTTTTCTTTAGTTGTGATCTATTAAATTTTTAGATGATATTAAATGAATATTGATAAATAATATTCTTCCTTGGCAACACTTTGTCTAATAATTTGCGTACAATAAAATATTTAATGAAAATGTACCTGATTAACTTTGGTAGCTCACAAAAACTATGACTAATATTATTTTTTGAATATATATATTTTAAAATTATAGTCAAATAAAAATACTCAGACAAATTGTTGCAGAGTTTAAGCAGAATTTTGCCCATTTTTTAACAAGTAAATAACCCCAAAACATAAGCTGTCTAATGTTTACTTCTTTTTTAAATTTTAGTTCCTTCTCTAAACGTATTTATTTTACAGAGTAAATAATGAAATGTGTGTGGGTAAAAAAAATTAATAAAAAAAATGTGAAGGCCATCATAAAGATAAGAAAAATGTGGCCCATATTTGTACGTTTTGTTAAATAGCTGCAGCAATAAAAGCGGTTTTTAATTTTGGTGATTTGCCTCCAAACACTCTTTCACATTTAACATCAGAACTGATCTGAGTTTAGCCAAAAAAAAAAGCGCAACAGAAAAGGTGTCTGCAAACGATAAAGATAAAACTTTCCTCAATAATTCTACTGAAGACATCCCATTGTGTGTCCTCCACACATTATTAGATTTTTTTTTTAAAGATGAAAGACCTCCTCGGTAATAATCATTCATTGGAGCTATAGGCGGCTTCTAATAACCCATTTTCCTTTCTTTGGGGATCAAGGTTTTGTTTTTTTCCCCTTCTACTTCTTCTTTTTTGTTACTAGAGAGTCAAACAGCCTCCTGTGATCTTTTGGATGATATAAACAAGTGACTTTTGTTTTCTAGTTTGGCTCCTGGCAAAGACAGAGAGCAGAGGAGGAGAAGGGGGGCCACAAAAGAATGAAAGAGTTTAAAAAGAAAAGGACTGATCCCCTTTGGCTCTTTTGTGTCAAGTTTCTCTTCTTTTCAGATGGAGCGTTCATCCGTGTGATTTCAGTTTATTGTCAGGGATTATGTATTAATTCATGCCTCGTGGAGAAAATGGAGCGAAGATTATATGAGGAGGGGAAGAAAAAAAAAAAGATGCATAGAACTGTACGATTGGATGTAAAGTTATCTGATGCTCAAAGACGGTCTAAAAACTCTGGAAGTGGTTCTTGAATAAATCCTGGTCCTTGTTCAGGGGCAGCTTCTGCGCGCAGAGGAGGGAACCAGTGCGCTCTGAGCAGAAGTGTTGCCCGTCCCAGTCCCCCGTTGACATTTTAGGAATGATAAAAGTTCCGCCTTGCCTGGAGCTACAGCCTCTCTGGAGCCGGCCTCTGTCTGCGGCAGATTGCCTTTGCTCATTACAGCAATTATTTTACTCGAGTTTAACCCCTGCCTTGAATGGCAGGGAAGTCAAGAGAAAGCCTTTAAAAGTGCCGTGGAGTGGCCTGTAATTTCCCCTCCATCTGATCCTCTCTGTTTTGTCATTTAAGTCCTCCTGATGGCAGGAAAAACGACTCCGGAGTTCAAATTTAGATATTTTTTTTTCTTCTTTCTTTTATGCGCTCCGGGAACGTAATATGTTTATATGTGGATTGGCGCACCGCTGCTAACACCCATAATGGGGTGTCACCGGGCTCGTTTTACACCCTAAACACACATAATGACACTCGAGTGGATTGTTTATGAGCAATTTAGCCTCACAGAGGTGATCTCCAATATTTATCGGTGTGTTTTTGAAGTCAGCACAACTGGTTGTCTCTCTCTCTTTCCCCCCCAGCAGCAGCAGCAACAGCAGCAGCCTCCTCCTCCATCTCCACCCCCCCTAAACTCTTCTGGCGCCAACAAAATCTAGGTTAGTTGTTTCAAAGCAATAGGCGACAGCTGTAGCAATACATTCCACCAAATAACATGTGACAAGTTTAAATTCTCGGTGCAAAGCAGCACTGCGAGGCTGAACGCACTGAGAGGTGCAAATTCCTTCTGACAAATTGGGCCTTCCATTGTCAAGTAATGGTGTTGGGTCACTGAGAGCCTTTAGTCTCCTTAATGACATGCTTTTGAAGTATATTATCTAAATGATCAAGCTCATCTAGTTTCTACTTTTAACAGAATTCTTTCCATTCTGTTTTTCCCCCATAAAAACTGTCTAAAGATGCCCAAGAAGTAGTTTCATCCTCATCAAAAACACGGTTCAAAAAACACCTTCTTTAAAGATTTAAAAAAAAAAATGTTTTTACGCACAGACTTCGTAAAATAAAATTAAAAAAAGAGGCCTAAGAAATAGTGACAGGCACCGTGCAAGTGTCATTCAAAACGGACAAACGTCTTAATGAAAAAGAATAAACAATTTATTGTTAAGTTATGTCACAAATATATTCATAATATAAATGAGGATATTCTTCAAATATACATTATTTTACAGTACACATATCCCTTCCGAAGGGAATCAATCCGACAACAGACAGTGCTGTTATAAAAAAAAATAATAATAATAAAGAAAAACAAATGCTGTGGTTCTCGAAATTCACAAAGAGCACTCATTGACACTGGATTCAGTAACCCACTATAGTTACGCATTGATATGAATGCAAAAAAAAATAACAAATTGGGAAAAAAAAAGTATGGATTTGTGGTGTGACAGCAGCCCACAAAAGTTTGTTGTCAAGCTGCGCGACAGTCTAAGCAGCCGTGTCACCTTTCACGTGGCTGTGGAGAGCTGGACTGTCCACACTGGCTGTCCATTCATGACAAATCACACGGCTACAAGTTGTTCTCCACCTCTGCACCGCAAAAAATGTCCATCTTGAAGTCATTTAGTCTCATTTTATTTCTCTAAAAAATAAGATTTTCACGTACTTTGTTTTATATTTAAAGTCAACCGAGAGAGGAAAAAAAATCAACAAATTTAAGACTTGAATGACGTTGGATTATTTTTGCAGTGTGTGAACTTACTGGCGAGGTAAACAGAAGTGGGTAAACCTCAAGGTCTTCAGAAGGGGTCTGTAAGGAGGCCTCGGCCCCCCTTTGACAAGATGTGACACTGACTTCACCACCAGGATGCTTCTTTATTCAGTACAGCGTCACCTCGGCGCTCCGAAGGGCCTCTCCTCTCCTCTCTGTCTCTCACAGAGTTGTCTTAACCCCCTTTTGTGTCCCGCTGCGCGTCGCCCTCGGTCCCTGTCAAGCCAGGTGGTACATACTGTATCCGACGTGAGCGGCGTACAGTCCCACGGGAGAAACCGGCAGCGAGTGCCTCTGGAACGGGTGCGACCCTGCGTAGGACGCGGGGACGTGCGCACCGAGGGGAAAGGAAATCCCGAAAGCCGGAGGCAGCATGGGCTTAGCTGCCATTTTCAGTTTTTCAAGCTCTGCCTCCTGCAGCCGCTTGGCCTTGGCTCTCCTGTTCTGAAACCAGATTTTAACCTGGGTCTCCGTCAGGTTGAGGGAACTGGAGAACTCTGCGCGCTCGGCGATAGAAAGGTACTGCTTCTGGCGGAACTTTCTCTCCAAGGCGAGCAGCTGGGACGTGGTGAAGGGAGTCCGGGGCTTTCTGTTCGTCTTGTGTTTCCTCAGCGGACAGGCAGGAGGACTTAACCTTCCTGAAAGAAGACAAAACGTTTAAATCCCCAAACCCTTTTTTTCTATATAGATATTTAAGCAGAAAAAGTGCGCATAAAAACACACCGACAGGGAAAGACATTCAACTCAACAGGCGTCCTGGCATTAAATAAATACATCTGCACATCGCATTTCTCTCATCTGGACACCTCACACCTAAAGCACAACTTACTTGGAGGTGTTGGAGAAAAGCGAGGATTCTGTATCCACGAAGTCCTCTCTTTACTATCCGGGCTCTCGGGTTTAATCAGCACGTCTTCTGGCATGTTCATGAGCTCGCCCACCGAGAACGAAGAGCTCATGGGTAAAGCTGGAGCCACTGTATCCAGACTACCGAAAGAGCCCATCCGTGCGCCCTTCCCCAGCGCCTGGGACGTCCCTGCCACGGACGGGGCATCCGGGGATGGCACCTCTCTGCTGGGCTTCCTATCAGCCATGAGCGCCTCGACGCTGAAGGGCAGAATCGCCACTTTGGGCTTCCCGGTGTCCTCCGCGGGGCTCAGGCTGGTCTGCATTTCGCTTCTGCTGACGAGAACCGAGCGAGGAGGGAGATCTTCAGTTTTCAAACCAGCGGTCAGAGCTGACATGGCGGTCGATGGGGCCATACAGGTCCGACTGGCACCGGGAGTGTAGGGAGGAGGAGAGGGGGGGAGGAGGAGAAGGAGGAGGACAAGTCGGCTCTCGTGGGGGTGATCGTGGGAAGAGTTTGCCGTGGAGTTGCTGCTGCGATGCGCACTAAAGTGACGGTATCCTCATGTTTATGTGGCCAAATTGGAGAGCTGGGCTTATAATAAGGGAGACGTGGAGAGGGCGGCGGCCAATCAGAGAAGAGATGGGCTGGACTCTGAGAGCAGGAGGAGAAAAAAACAAAAAATCAGAGTGGGAAAGTTAACAATAGTGACTTTTTATAAACTTCAGATAAACATAAACACAACAAACTCTTAATGGAGCATGGTTTCATCCAGGCCTAATCCCCCCAAAATGACGTCCCATTCCTTATAATTACCCCAACACAACCTATTTTATAATTGGCTCTATAAACGTGTGCATTCTGTCTATTATTACCCTCCTTGTTTATCTTTGATAACACAACTTCTCTGTCAGGATCGACCCATATGACTTTGGTTAAACTGAGTCTTGAACGTTGCACAACGCTGCTGCTGCCACTCTGTGCGTGATGAACCTCTTGCAGCGCGCTGTTTATTGATGGCTGCGGGGCTCTAATCAGATTGAAACACACAGGCCTTCGCAGTCATTTAGGGGTAATTATTGGGCTTGGGGGAGGGATCACTGGGATTTTTTTCCCCCCTCCTTTTGACTACATCCATTAAAGTCAAAAATTATGTGGAGTCGGAGCAAAGTGAAGGAGGGGAGGAGGAGGAGGAGGAGGAGGAGGCAGCGTGGAGCCAGAGCGAGATTTAACCCAGGACTGTCACTGATTTACCTGGCCTGTTCTCATTATCTGCACTGCCCATGAGGGGATTTTTTTAAAAACAGGGAATAATGACACTCACTCTTCACATGTGAAAACGGTTCTCAATGACACATGGTTTGCACCGATACACTTTGCCAATAAAATGCGAGTTCCAGAATCCAAAAAGACGCACAAGTCTTGCGAAAAACAGCTCAGGTCCTACCTTTTGCTGCGGTGTAGTCAGTTCTCAGGAAAAAAGCGTCTGCGTCGCTAATTGCCAAGCATAAACAATCTGTCACGATTTGTCAGTCTCCCTAATGGGCAGACAAGTTATGTTGTTTTTAGGCGCCAGCAGCGGCCGGATCAAAGCGCACCACTTTAGGGAGACTATTGAAAAAGTTGAACCCGCACCGAGGAGCGCAGCACCGCCTCCTCCTCTATCCGCCCTAGCCCAGGGACACTGAGCCATTCAGCTTGAAAAATTTGCTTTTTCTCAGCGGATCGCACGCTATTTCCATCTATTCAGATGAGCGCCACGGTCGTGTGATGGTTTAGGCTCCTCAGAAGGGGAAGAAAAAAAGCAAAACAAAACAAAGGTCAGCTGCCCACCGGTTGCTTTTCAGCGAGTCTCTCACTGAAAAAAGGGGTTTCCTGGGTGCGAGTGTTTCCCAAGATATAGACCTGCAGATCTGTGACTGAGGAGATGTTGTGACTCGGTGCAGGAGTCAAAGAGGTGCTGAATACAGAGAGGGTGAGACCTCAAAGCATGTTATCTGCATAATCTGTGCGCTTTAGGAAGAGAAATCAGGGAAGCCCCTCTCCAAGACCGGAGGAGCACCATGCGTCTTTGGATGCACTGCAGCCTCAGAAAGTTTAAACTTGTTTTGGTGCAGTTAAGATTCAAGGTGATACATGTGCAAGAGCCTCAGTTTATGGTTTTTGCTGAGGCTTGTCATAAGAAATGCTTAAGAGACTGTGCTTTCATATTCAAATCGCAGCCACAGGTGTTCCTTAATCGTTTTCTTGCATTTTAGATCAGATAACCTGCTTCCACTGGGTTCATAAAAAAGTTAACACACAGCTCTTCATTTATCATTTCCTCTACAGGACATCCTGTGTGTGTGTGTGTGTGTGTGTGTGTGTGTGTGTGAGTGAAGGTGTAGCAGGCTCCGTGCGCAGCTGCAGTGTGTTTGGAAACACTTAAACCCTCCAACCTGGAACGAGTGGCACCGCTCCGAAAGGCTTTGAAGTCACCGGAGTCTCCGGGCTCCCACGTCCGTCTGAAGTCCCCTCTGCTCGGGGCTCAAACACTTTAACCCGTCCTCCAACACCAACTCGTTAAACGAGTCTGCGTAAATACAAATAGGCACACATGAGACGCATTAACGTGCGCTGCGGCGAGGTGCGGCTTTTACGCACGGGCTGCTCAGTTTTTCTCTGGTGATGTGCGCCCTTTGAGAAACTCATCTTAATTCTGTGTGATCATCTTTCTCGTGTTTTCGGATTTGATCGTACCACGATGGATTAGAAACATAATGTCACTCAGCGGAATATGAGCAAACATCAGGAGATAATTAATGGCTCCATCTATCACCCTAAAACGCTGCTCTTATTGTGATCTCGGCTGATTTTATTAAAACTACATTTATTGCAGCAGCTGATTGTCGCGGTGTCATTGTCTCCAGTTTATTTGCCTTGTGAACAGAAGGACAGCGATGCTGGAAAACAATGTTGGAGGCAATTAGCATCCCAAACACTGGCCTTTAAGAAGACTGATATGCCATGGAGAAGACGATTACCATACCGTTTTATTTAAATCCCGAGGCAACAAATGAGGGCCGGGTTGAGATACAAAAAAACTGTAAGGCTCGTCGGGCCTTTATTTAACTTTATAAACTACCTTTGATTCGCAGTCAGGAGGCAGAGACTGCAGACAAAGGCCCATTGTTGCCTCCACTCAAAGTTGTCTTAACCCTTTTCATGCGAGGTCTGTCAATTTAGACTGTAAAGACATAAAAGGCCGAGTCCATGTCAAAAGGCATTTTCAGGCAAAATATTTGTACTTGGTGCGTAAATGACTTTGGGCAGGGGACAATGACATCGCACGTGTGAGTATAAAACTCCTCAATCTTTGTCTTTTCTTTTTTTTTTTATTTCTGGCGAAATTTGCGCATTAATGCATGAGGCATTAAAAAGCGCACAGACTCGTTGATGATGAAGTCAGTGGCCGTTTGTAAAAAAAAAATCTGTGACCTCGAAAGGAATCTGGTGAAACCGTCTGAGCAGCATTTCGGCGGTTTGGAGTTAATCTGATAGTGACTTCATGATGCACCTTTAGGGGGAGATGAAAGGAGCAGCCGGCAGTCCGGCCCAAGGTCTCCATAATTATACATAATGTATCCTATTTCAAAGCAATTAGCGCAATCAGGCGGATCGGGCCACTTTGCTGCCACTAAGTAACAATGCCTCACGGTCATTTAAGCTTCAACATGCCATTCACACTCTGCGGAGACGTGCTTCAGTCGGGCTGGCAGGTGGATGTGTCCAAAGTCCACAAGTCAGCGCCTCGTTCTCTGAAACCAGTTTATGATCCGTTGATCCCACCTCCACCAAAACCAGAGCTGGGAATATTATGATGACTGGAGAGCCTAAATAGTCCACTGTGCAGCCCTAAAGGATGATACTGGGTGTCTTTTAATTTCATTTTTACAATTTTATTAAACAAAAAAAAAATCTTCAAAGGCCAAACCTGGACACATAAATATGGGCTAAAACACATTCTAACATTTATTAGAACACTTTATTTATATTACAGAGACTTTAGTATTTTGTCATAACAGTTGATTCTAATTTAGTTAAATTTGTCACACAAAGAAAACAACATGAGACAAACAACAAAAAATAATGCAACTGTTTGCATCAATCTTTTTAATTTATGACAACTTTTAGTGAAATTACCAACAAACCACACTGAGTCAGTGGAATTCGCTTTTCCATGACAAAGATATTTCTAATTACTTGTCTAATCGTTAAGACATGTTAAGACAGAGGAGGGGACCAGTGACCTCAAGATGAAGAAAAAATCAGTTATCCTGCCAACTTCATTAAGTTATCTCCACTTGACTTCAGATTTAAATCGACTAATGCAGAGTTTAAATGACATATAATACTAAGTTAATAGAATCGATATTGTGACATCAAGTTAGCAAAAATATTGCTTTCAATTTAATTTTTTTATCTAAATTATTAAATTACTTTTTTTTTTCTTTCTGAAATCTTGCAATCGTGCAGTTAATTAAGTGATGGGCTCATTAGATTACTTTCTAGATCGCATTATTTCATCACACAGTGCAGGTGAAGGTGTGAACACAGAAAGCTTCTTGGTTGAGAAATCAAATGATAGCAACGTGTAATTTATCTCCGAGCTCAGAGAGTCAGAGCTGAAGCTGATCGGCTGACTGCGCAGTGATCCGAGGCTGCAGGAAAACAGCAGCTCGCAGAGAAATAGAGTCCAAATGTGGAGGCTCGCCGGCTGACGATGATGAATGCGCTGGAAGCTCCGCCGATTGAGCGACTACATGCGGCTGGGAGAGCAAGAAATAGATGCGCTTTTTTTTTTGGAATTATTAACTCTCTGAGTCAATCAGACGCAGCGCTTACTGAACTTTATTCCCCATTCATCTCCCTGAGCGCTGCCTCGGCTGACAGGCGGGATGAATGCGTCCCCACGGTGATGATGGAAACCCTGCCGGTGCGGCAGCAAACACGGACACACTGAGCTCGGGTGTCGCCAGCAGCGGCGGGGGGCAGCAGAGGCTCCGGCAGGAAAAGATTTGCGTGAAATCAGGATGTTTGACGAGTCGGGATCTGCTAGAAAACACTGACACCTCCACGCTTTATTAGCTCTGATGTCAAAAAAAAAAATCTATTATCTAATCTCACTCATTTGATTTTCTTTAAAAGTGAAAAATTAAATCAAATGCATGTTTATGTTGGACATCATCAGCGTCTCTTTGCTCTGATTGGCTCAGCTGCGTTAAAACCGCAACAGCCTCCTTAATAACCGCATCACTGCCTGTTTAAATATTAATGCGCTAATTAAAAGCCAACACAGCGTCACTGGGGTTTATTTAAGAGCTACACAGGCCCGGGACCCGCCATGAAGGAGCTCAATCAAAGTGCTAATTAGACTAATTGTAAAATAAATAAACACTTTCCAATACAATGATGTATTATCAGTGATGTAAACTGCATGGTCTGACTTTTGCTTGGTGATTTTGAGCAAGAAATGATTGGGGGGAAAAATAAAAAGGCACACAAGGCTC